CACTACAGAAAAGTTATTTTGCTGATGAAAATTATAGTGAATTAATCTTTAGTCGTATTTATAAATTGATGATATCAACTGATGATGTTGGATTTATTATGTCCGTTGACCAGTAGCTGTTGCCCAAAAAATAAAAAACAAACAAAAAAAAAGATATTATTTTCTCATTTGCTAATACTGGAGTACTGTTTATATTCATAAAACAAAATCCCAAAATATCATTACAACTCACTTGATGTAGGCCTGTGACTCTTACATACAGTAAATGGTTGTAAAATCATAAAAAAATAAAAGTTTGTGCAAACCCTTACCACCCCCCTCCCAAAAAGGAAATGGGAGCCCTGGACTACTGCCCCTAAAGCCCTTTTGAAAGACGTGTTTGAAGTGAGCACTTCTTACCTTGCTCACAGTTACAGAGGTAACTGTGGTCCCAGGTGTTGGAGTGAGCGTTCTCGGGGCCAATCCTGGCACTGTGGCCCCTACGGAGCTCTGAAGAGACAAAAACAAGCAAATGTGTGTCTTAGAAAACGAATCAGAATAAAAGCCTGTAGAGGAAAACCTCAAAACTTTGACACAGGCTTCGTAGTTGGTTAGAAATATATTTTGTTACAGCACAGCATGTAAAATGCTCCACAGAGCAAACCAAGCATGTTTTTTCTTCGCAATTTTGTTTCTCCACTGCAGCCTTGTGGTGCGGTACTGCATTTAGTTTAATAATTATGCATTCACACATATTGTATCAATGCAAAAGCAGAATGCAAATTAGCAGTTTTGAGCCATGCATTGTACCTGGCAATATTTTTTATTGGGTAGAATGCATAATAAATACGTTATGTTGCAATTATGTAAATACACATTATGCTTTGGTTTGCTTAAACGGTGCATAATACATTAGTTAAGTATCCACATTCCCTGACATTTTCATTTATTTTTTATTTTACAATTTTCAATAATGTATTTTTCACAACACAAAGTACCTGAAGGAACCTGATAATGGATTTTACATTTATTTACAAATGAAGGCCTGAAGTGTGGTTAGCTTTTGTATTTATCCATTTTTACGTTGATAACCTCTACATTAAATTCGACCGACTGCCTTCACAATAACCCCGTTAAGTGCAGTTTCTCCAAGTCTTAAACATCTAAGAAAACACAGTCAGAGGAGCAGCTGTTTAAAGTACCATTTGGAGTTCCACAAAATCCATTTGAGAATCTATAACAAGACTAGACAGTTGAAGTTCAGAAAATCTGACTGACACTGAGCCACTTTACAAAGAAAAACAAGCATTTTCTTTTTTTTTGTATTTGTTTGCGAAAAATGTCAAGTAAATTCCAGGTATCAGGTCTCAGGCCAAAAGTTTTATGGCAAATTACATCAATAAAATGGTAAATTTTAAGTGCAAATGAGACATCAAGAACTAAGTCCTTTGCTTGTAAGTCTGGGGATTATAATACACAATATAAATTTCATTTTAAAGCACCACAACATTAAAAGAGAACAAGTTTGTGGTGTACTGTACATAGAGAGAATCTACACACCGGCAGGATAGGCGCTCTGTGAAGAGCAGTGGTCGCAGCGAGTGTTACTGGGGGCGGACAGCCTGGTCGGATGATGGCGCCCGGAGACACTTGTCGGCTGATGATTGTGGTTCCAGGAGCCTAAAAAAAACCAAACACGTAGTTACACACTAACAACTGGACTGTTTTACCAGTTTCCTTCTGGATTAAAATATACAGACAGTTTCCCGAAACCCCAAACCGAAGATACCTGTCCCGCAGACACATTCGTTGGCGTGGCGGTCCGAGGCGCCATGCCTCCCTGCGCCTGCATTTGGGCCAGAGTCTGCTGAGGAATCACCAACAGCTGCCCACTCTCGCTGCGCACAAGCACCATACCTGAAGCGAAGCAGGAAGTTGTGTGAGAGCAACAGCAAGAAACTTAGAAGAGGATTTTATGCTTTATTTTAGTGTGAATTATGATGGGCTGCGTCACTGATTTGATGTTTTTGTTTGTTTTATTTTGTGAAGCACTTTGTAACAAATCGTCTGTGTATTACTATGTCATTATTATTTTATGTGTTTATTTTAAAGACAAGCGTTATGGTTACAGTTCAGAAATGTGGGTTTAAACTTGCGATAACTTACGAAATGCTAAATGACAGCTCAGCCTCACTCACCCGGGGGTATCTGGATGTTGTGAACACTGGGCTGTCCCGGTGAGGCCTGTGGGAGCCTCGGAGCCAGCATCTGGGTCGTGATCCCGGGCGCACCTGCGGCTGACACGCCGAGAGGTCTGGGAGCGCTGACGGTGCCGGGGGCGGCGGCGGCGGGCTGCGGCGCGGACTGGATTATCGTCGTTGGCGGCTCTGCTTTAATGATGTGCGACCCCGCGCTGACGGGCTGCCCGTTGTTTACCGGCGGATTTTGCCTGCCAATACCCGTCAGATTCGTTGCATTAGCAGCCGCGGCGGGACTCGCGGTACTGCCGCCGTTCAAAGTTGTGCCCGACCCGGCGGTTTGCATAGGCGGTGTCACCGTGGGTCCTGCTGCTTGGCTCGCAGCGGAAACACCGTCCGAATTCACGAGCGGCGTCTGAATGACGCTGTTTGACGAGGGGGGCAACGAGACGCCGGTCAGCTCTTTTGACAGCACTGCTCCGGTGCTGACAGCCGCGGCTGATATCACAGTGTTGCTGCTGCTGCTGTTGTTGCCAGTGCCACTTGTCGCTTTCGCCCCCTCCAGAGGGGCAACGCTTCCTGAATTGTGAGAGTTCATAGTTTGGCTCCCATTAAAAGTCTGCACAGAGTATGAGGCCACTTTCCCCGGTTGGTTAGGGGGGAAACTTATGCCGTCACCGACAACAAGTGGTTTTTCCGGCTCGTGTCCCCTTTTGGTGTCGGTGCTGCCTGTCGATGCGTCCATGGCTGAACCATTGGGAACTCGCTAAGCGGAGACCCCCCTCTAACCCCCCACTCTGCACTTCAACTAGTTTAACCGGGAGTAACACACGCTCGAATGTGATGGGGGAAGACTACTGTACGTCTGTTGCTTTTCTCTGCCAACTCCGGCGCTTGCTTCTCGTGTGTTCTCCGAGAACAAATAAGGAAAACAACATTAGTAGTTACAGCGTACCTGCTTTAGCAACCGTCTTGACCAAGTCCCAGCTGGACATTAGCTCGAGCTACTACCCCCCCGTCCCGGAACTATCACCATGTAATTAACGGCTGCCTCGTGCCAACTCCAACTAATAAACAAGGACAGCTGTGACTCTACAGACCGTGGAGGATGGCAAACTACCGCTTTATTCTCCCCCGTCTGTGAAAAGAGTTCATCCAGCAGACTGGGGCCAACCGCCATCTTCGCACTCCTGCGAGCTTCTGAAAAGTGAGGTACTTACTAACTGACGTGCGCCTGCGCACAACGGCCAAAAGTCCACAGACCGGGGAGCTCTCTGAGCGGTGATTGGCTGCTCCGTCTGCTAAAAGGCGGTACCAATGGCTTCAGCTGTCATTCCGGGAGAAGTAGAAGAGGGTATAACATCTCACCGGGACGATGTGTTTTCACCGAATTTTTCATTCTAGAAAACATACTTTGTCTTAAACTACAGATAATCCGTCTCAGAATTCAACCCTGTGACCTTTGGTGGATGAATACCTGGGTTTGCTCAAAGCGTAATACTCAAATTTCAGAGTTTATTCACACTGGATGCACCGGGCAAGATGGCTGCAGCGAAATGAGGTTTCGGTTGTACAGAGACGTATAAAGACGCCCCACCCTTTTAAAAAATGACTGTTTAGTCTCGAGCGTTGTCGCTGAGCATCTCTGCATTGACTTTTATACACACAACAATAAATGTTATATTCGTGTTTTAAAGCATTAATACGACAAAACTCTTATTAGTAAATTATAATATGTGTTTTTAATCTGCATCCAGGGGCAGATTAAAAACAGGATTAGGATTAGCCCTGCCTGGAAAACAAACAAAAAATAACTGTCAGCTGCATAAGTTTTCTGTTTATTGAAAAAAAAATCATGCAGAACCTCTTTTCAGCTGGGATAATATACTCTGTAGAAAATCATGCAGTGTATTTCCAACAGATGTTTGTTTTTGTGAGTTATTCCATACATATTTCACACCCTGTTAATGCAATGGAGTCGACCTTTTGGTGGAGGAAGCAACTCAAATCTATGCTTTTGAATATTAGTACAGTCGTGGAATGACGTTTCTCCTCTGTTGGACTCAACAGTACTTCACTGACTGAGGAAGGAGATTCTGACTTTTTAAATGTAGCTTCTTGGGTTTTTTTTATATATATACTTTAAGCAAAAGTAAAAAAAAAAAGTACATACAAATACTTGAAATATAACCAGTTTTTAATAGTATGAATTAGTATGAATAACTATGATTTTGTAATGAAAGCTAAAAAGATACTTTCTACATGTCATAAAATCACGACACAAATAGTAGAATTAAGAATTAACTGGCATCCTGTTTACTTGATACAACGGTGTTTTGAAACACATTTAATCTAATTTATATAGTGTCAAAACAGTAAGAAATATACAATTCAAACATGAATAAATATATATATATATATATATATATATATATATATATATATATATATATATATATATATATATATATATATATATATATATAGTGACTCTGTATATAGTATATATAGTATATATAGTGACTCTGTATATGGCTTTGCAGAGCCAATCTGTGAAGCCATAATGCCAGAGAATTAAAAAGTCTGTTTTTAATCTTGCAATAGACACAGTGTGTCACTATTTGTTTATTTATGCCTAAAACAATAAAGTTATGCCAATTTCTTACATTCTATTCATCAACATTAAAGGGCTGCGTTCACAAGAGTTGTACCATGTCTGTCGTTGACTTAAATAGTTTCCTGACGTTCGTGCCGGTGTACGCCGGGGAGTTAAACAAACCAACCCCTGGCTTCGGCACAGGTGGCTCGTTCATCTGAGTGCACGTTCAGCCTATAAAGCCCGCAGGTGCACAGTAATTGCACATAAAGCAGTTCCTGTCTGTTCGAAGCCATTTATCCACTTGTTGTTTATTGCTTCGTTTATTTCATTTGAAGAAAAAAACCCGTGTGTGCTGCAAACATGAGTGCCGGAGGAGGAACTCCTTATATTGGCAGTAAGATAAGTTTGATCTCAAAGGCCCAGATTCGATATGAAGGGATACTGTCTTCTGTGGACACCGAGAGGTCCACCGTTGCTTTGGCCAAAGGTATGTGTAAAGCACGGCTTGTTCAGTAGCTTTATGTTCTATTTCTTAACTCCTGTTCTTGTCAGCTTTAGTCGGTTAATTGGGAGTACGTGCTAAAGAAACGTCCGCTTTCTTCAACCAGTTAAATCCTTCGGTACGGAGGACCGGCACGCGGAGAGACCAGTGCCTCCAAAAGATGAGATATTTGAATACATAATATTCAGAGGAAGTGACATCAAAGATATTACCGTGTCTGAACCTCCAAAACCACACCACGGACTACCCCGAGATCCTGCCATTGTTCAGGTATGTGCGACAGTGTATTGTGAATTGGTTCAAACCAACTTCACTGTTAACCCAAACATTGAAGGCGATGTTCAGTGTTTACATAGAAAGGAAATGCAGTCTTTTTTTCTCTCTCTCATTCTTTTCTCCGTCCATATGAACCTATTCTGACTCTTTCCTGGCAGTCTGTTTGGCCCGCATGCAGAAGAGGGAGGAACCGTATTCATATCGGACAGAGCTGGTGTCAAATGTTTGTGCAGCAACGTCTGTTGTTTTGTTTGTTTGTTGCTTTGGCTTTGAAGATCTTAATGAAAGTTTGAAGGTAATTTTGATTTAGTAAAAGTGAGGGGGCTGGTTGACCTTCTGACCTTTAAATTTTCATTCATATTTTCAAAGCCAAAGCAGCACAAACATTTTTTTTGCTGTACAAATGTAGGCGAGTTGATCGACTCTTAATTTTGTCTGATTTGAAGAAGGTGGGGAAGGGGCATGTTTAATTTGTGGGATGAACAAACACGCCAAAAAAAAAGGGCTTTAAAATCGGGAACCAGAAGTACTTACAATTTTTGCTTCCAGAATTTACGTTTGCATCAACTTAAAATTGACTGCTCTATTTAATAAGCTTTCTCTCAAATTGGTTGGGTAAGCTTGCTCCGTTTCCAGTTTTGAATTTTATCCCTAAAAATTTTACTTGGCAATTTAGCATTTATTTATTTTAACTCAGTCATCCATGGGCCCGTCTTCTGGATACCACCCACATTGGAGTCCATACAGAGAAATGATGCCCACCTTTAACCAACTGGCTGCTGGCTCTCTGCTGACTCAGCAGTACAATGCAGCTCTAGACCTAAGTACAGAACTTTCCATCTTGAAGATTTAGATTTTTTTTTTTTATGTGCCTGGATATGAGTCATTTCTTTTTTTTTTTTTTGGTCCCTTAGTGCCAGGACTTCCCGGTGCAGCCAGGAGGGCTCCTATGGTGGAGCAGGCGGTTCAAACCGTACCTTTATCCACAGCCACACAGAGAAGGGGAAAGGCTCCCACCCCGCCGCAGAGCAGGATTCCTGTTCGGCCCTCCAGGGGCCCCCCACGAGATGCTGCGCGGGTTGAGAAGGAGAATGTTCCCACCAGTAAGCAGAATCAAACTTTCACAAATGACTCCAAATTTTATTCACATCACGCATGACAATCACAGAAAAAAAAATAAATATGAATGGCTCCAGTTTAGATCACTTGTGAACTCCCCATTTTTAGTTTAATTAAAATAAATATCTACTCTGAAACCGGGACACAACTGTCATTGCACCAAACAACTTAGAAAAGTTTTTTTTTTTTCTTATTTTTTTGCTCTTCAGGTCAAGCATCAAAACCAGCTGCTGCGAAGGTACAAGGGCAAAGTGCTGTTGAGAAAACGAGACAAAAACAAGGTATGAAATGCCTTTTCTTTTTTTTCCTTTTTTTTCCCCCCCAGAACACTGGAAAACAATAAAGGGTCAGATTTAAGATGTGCTCCTCTGTTTCAGAGGTGGGCACATCCTCATTCTTATTTTAACCATTTCTGCAAAAACCTTTTTACAAATACTTCATTCTAAAATGCGACAAAAAAAAGCTACACCATTCATGACAGGTCTGTATGCGTGAACGTAAAGCGATCACAGAAATATAATATATTGTTTGGGTAAGGCTTTCTGTGACGTCTGACATACTTACAGGTTAAGCTATGACACTATTTTGGAAAGGTGTGTGTTGCAGAAAAATCCATCAAATTTAAAATGCCTTGTGGAGGTATGGCGTCGGTGTGAAAACAAAGCAGTTTTGGAGCAGGTTTTCATTAAAAACGGGAAAGAAAAATCCGTATATTGCACTCTACACGTCATGGTTACCGCTCTAGTAAAGCCTTTAAGTCTCAGGCAGGTAGAAGCAACTTGACGTGATAATTCGTTTGACAGAAGGAAATAAACTGGGGAACACTTTTTCCAGGGTGAAGTTGTGGCCAGTTTAAAACGGTCAAATTTGAGTTGGTTCTGATGCACATTCGTAGGCAGTCGCAGAACCAGGACCAGAAGTCGTGGCCAGCTATTGGCGAAAAACTCTAAAGTCACAGCTTTGGAGTTTGAGGCAGATTTTGACTTTGAAACTGCGAATGCTCAGTTTAAAGATCATCTGACAAAGGAGGCTAAAGGTAAGTTTTTAGGTTGTCAGATTGGTAAATCTGGGGGGGGGAAGTTGACTATCTTTCTTTGTTTAGCAGGTGAGAAACTGGTCTCTGGGGAGGACCAGGACTCGAAGCATGAGCTAGAGGAGGAAACTCTTCCAGAGAAGTATTACAACAAAGCTAAATGTTTCTTCGACAACTTCTCAGAAGACCCTAAACCCAGGTACTACAAGCAGTCACTCTGCAATAGTACCAGTTTGCTCTGTGCTTGTTTAATTTTAAGTTTTCGCCCAATGTGTCCTCCCTAGGAGAACTACCTGGGCGGAGGAGAAGAAGCTGAACATGGAAACATTTGGAGTCCCTGGTCGCTTTCTGAGGGGGAGAGGATTCAGGGGACGTGGGCGCAAAGCAGAGGGCAGCACAGATCGGCAAACCCTCGCCAAGATTGGCAGTGGGAGGGTGTGAAAACCTTTTTGTTAATGCTACTGTAAATGTTTTCTACTTCAAATCCATCTCTCCGACTTGACTTATGCGTTTTCATTTAATATTTAAGCTTTGGCTTGTTTACATGAAATAGGAGCGATTTCTTTTTAATCCAGCAGCTGTGTACTAGAAGCAGGCAGTATTGACTGTCCCTGGATCAGGATAGCATTTCTGTTTAGTGTATTGATCAATGTACTTGTATGTAACTCAAATGGTCTTGAAACAATTTCTCTTGGCATTGGATTTTTTTTTTTCTGCTCCTTGTAAAAGATTAAAAGTGGAGAAATGTGCAACAGTTGCTATTAAACAGTATGTTTAAAGGTGGTTCTAGTCCCTGCGGTTTTGTGACACACAGGCAGCCAGTCTACTAAACTCTGGGCCTAAATTGTCAAGGACTTCAGCAAATGAATCAGACTCATCAGAAATGTCAGGGGAATCCAGATCTGAAGAATCGCTGGGTTCCCCCTCCTCTTTGTAGATTTTAGGTTTATAATGGTGCAGCTCAGCCATTGGTTCCTGTAAACGAGACAGCTTCTGTGGCGAGAGGGAGAGGAAAAAGGGAAGTTGTGAGGGCTAATTCATGTTCAAGTTTTGGAGTGTTGTGATACTAACCTGCTGAATCTCATCTATGTCAAACAGGTAGGATGGTGTGGTTTCCCATCCATTAAAGCCTAGGCTGGTGTCCATGGTGTCCATACTGAACAGGTTGCCAGTGTTCCGTTCTTCAGCCTTAAAAAGTGAAAAGTTAATTTTTTATAATTTTTTTTTTTTTAATGACATAGGAATTTTACATTTGAGATTCTAAGGGTTCATGCGGCCTAAGTATCTTGGCTGAAATCGGTCTTGGCATGAGTCAGATTGGTTTGTCCTGCAAGTTGTCTATAGTCTTTAATCCAACTCCTATCACTGGATAAACCTTTAAACTGTTGCAATGTTTGTATCGTGTTGCTTATACAGGAACTGGAGGGTGGAGACGGAGTAAACATTTAAACAGAATATTCTAGCCAGCGTAGCATCAATTTAAGTCACTTTTGTTGACTTGCTTCCATTTTTTTTTGGTTCAACAAGAAATTCAAAGGTGGCTTGATCCCCTTAATGTAATTTTTCCATGTAAATTGTCATTTTCTGCATGTCTGATTTTAGTGATTAAAATTGGAAAATTCTTATGAAACTAGATAATACAGATTGTGTTTGTCAAATTGCACTCCTGTCTAAATGTGACGTGGTCTGATTTTGAGCGGGAAATGCTTGAAAGCAACTTTATCCGATACTATATGCAAAGTATCTGAATATGCAATAAACATTAAATTTGGTTCCTATTCTACAACCAATCCAGATGCAGTTCATACTTTATATGCTGATTGTTCTTTCTGATGAAACCTTTTGTTTTGTTCATTTATTGGGTTAACCAGAACCCTGTTGACTATGATGAAACAGTTCCAAGTGTCTCATTAGCACCTTACCACCCTTGAGATGTTTATAAAAACAATAAAAGCCCCTGCTTAAGAATGAAACTGGTAATAATGCATTTGTCTTGGTGTTCCATTACCTTAAATGAAGAATATCTCATGGAGGACAGGCGATCCATGCTGTTGTCCCGTTGAGTGTTGGTGTTTTCCGCTGTCTGTTTAAATTGATTTTAATTAGAGGCTCATTTACATAAAAATGCACAAACAAAAGTAAATGTATTTTTGTCTGATTATTATTGGTTTGTCATTGCCATTTTTGATCAATTTTTTGTGAATATTTAGGTTCATACCCTAACAACCATTCTGGATCCATGTGTCTATGTAACAGTTGTCTACTACAAGTGACAGATTAATTGTAACGTAGAAACAGAATCTCGCAATCACACTTTTGAAAGTCCAGAACTACAAGTAGCAGGTGTTTGGAGGAAGAAGTAGCCGTTGGCCGAGATGTCGAGATGTGTAGATGTGAAGGGAGAAAACAACTGAACGTTCAAATTGAATCTGAGGATCAGAAGGTGCGGATTACCTTGCTCTGGTATTTACTGCTCCTGGAAAAAGTCCTCGTCCAGTACCTCTTTGAGTCATTATTGATGAAGCTGTTTACTCTCCCCTGTGGAAGAGGGAGACAAACATCAGTCAAACTTTATAGACTGACTTGGGGGAAAAAAAACGCAATTTCCTTTCTCCCTACTTTGCTTTGTGTCCTCAAACTTCTACGTTCAGCATGAAATACCTCGAGCTTTGCAAGAAATAAGAAACGGTTAGTGAGATTTGTACTGAAATAAGTCAAACTTTTGAGTGTTTCTCATGTGTAACCTGAATTGCATCCCCTGGTGCTTCAGTGTTTGAAGCCATGAGGGTCCCCATAAACCCAGGGGATTCGTCTGTGGGGATAAAATTTTTCTTACAGGAGATATAAAATGCAGCCAGCAGGGCCACTGCAAAAAAGAGAAAAGAAAAGAAAAAAAAAGTCTTTTTACAGGAGTTGTCACATTTCTAGGATGGTCTAAAGATAATTGCTTTCATTCCTTACGCAAAAGTAAAGCTGCTGCAAACAGTGCGATGCCTACAGCGCTGGAGCTGTCAATTGTCACAGGCTTCCAATTGCGGCAGTGGTGTACCTCCGAGCAGGAGCACACGGTGGCGGTCAGCTCGGAAATGCCGAAAGTCCCCTGCATGTCTGTCACCTTCACTCCAAGAGTGTAAAGACCGCTCTTTACACTAGAATCCCTCACCAGGCCAGCTGTGAAACCTACAAGAACCAAAGCAAAACTGTTTGATTGTGTCGCTGTGAGATTTTTCTACATTTTATCACAGTTTTACCATGAGATGGATCCAGTTTCCATCGTCCTTTGACGTCCCCAAGCAGCTCAAAGGTGAAAGGCCCTCCATAAGGAACGGCGTCTAGATCATTAGCTGAGATGTTGGTTGGAGTTTGGCCGTCAGACAAGCAGACATCCACTTGGCTCACCTCCAGTTTTGGTATGTTGTCATTTACATCAATAAGGTGGATCTGCAGCGTAACTGTGCCTGTCATTGGTGGCTCCCCTGTTAAAAGTAGAAAATAGTGCTTTCACAATGGAGATATTAAATGCAACAATGAGAATTATAGAAATTGTGGTTACCTTTATCCACTGCGTGCAGTGTCAGGTTGTAAACGCCGTTGACAACATGGTCGGATTCCCTGTCCACCATCTTTCTGGTAGTGATGTCCCCAGTTTGGGGATCGACATCCATCCAGCCTGCTGGATCGTGACCCACTTTGTAGCTGTTGACAAACGCAACTCACTTGAATGCAAAAAAATTTTAAATTGAAATTCAAAATGCAAATGTTCAGAACAATCCGAATACAATGAACAGTTGTGGTCCTGACATAAATTTTGCCCTGGCGATTGCTTCCTAGCACACCTACCAGACTACCATTACCTCCCTCCCAGTGATGGCCAGAGCTCTGAATGCAGGTCACATTCTTCACAACTTTGAGCTGAATGATGGTGTTTTTGAACTTGAGGCTTATACTGTGGTTTTCAGGGACACATTTATACATAATATTCCTTTGAGGGAGCGTTCTGAGTGACTGTTGAGCAAGGGGCTGGCTAGCAGTCTGTCCATTCTGGAAAAGCAATTGTCAGTTTGCCCGTTTCATGAACTTGGTCTGATGGGAGGCGGGATAGAAGCCGAATACACAACGCAACTTTCCTCTGAAGCTAGACTTCACAGTTCTTCAGTTTTCCACATCTCTCTCTCAGTTTTGCTTTACAAACTGTTTTGCAGGTTGTTCATAGCACACTAAACTCTACTCTCAAAGCGGTTGGCCATTGCTCCCCATATTTACAAAAAGAGCCACCTTACATGAAGTCTCTTGAAGCAGTGGTGTCTCGATCCACAGCGGTCACTTTCTCCAGCCAGGTTCCGATCGGCGCGTCCTCCTGCAGGCTGACATCTTTGACGGTCACGTCGAAGTTCGGGGGGTCGTTCACGTCCTCTACCTCGATGACAACTATTGTGGTGTTACGCTGAATGTTCTTGCCACCGATTTGCTCTTCAGTGAAATCAACATCCCAGAGGTCCCCGGACGGCCGCCTTGTCACTTTGCAGGAGAAGTACGGCGCCTCATTTTCGACCGATATCTTCAGCTCTCTCATTGCTCCGTTTTCAAAGTCTAATGACTATAAAGGAATGTATTTTTAGTTGAATTGCATTTCAAAAACATTTAAGCCAAAAAAATAATAATTAGAAGCAACATCGTCAAGTACAAACACTTCTTACTTTCACAACAGTCAAAATCCCATCATTAGTTTCTGCGTCCGTCTCTATCTTGAAGTATCCTGCCATGTCTCCATGAATGGTGTATTTGGCTCTCCAGGCTTTGCTCTGCGTCATGTCTTTGTCCGTCACATGGAGGCGCAGAGGAGAGACTCCAACCTCGTTTTCCTTCACTTTGCCTGAGCCCTGTTGTTCAAATCCAAGGTGAAGGGGATGGTAAACATTCAATGCTAAATAGGAGTGTGTCAGGTTAACTAACTAAACATGTTAACCTTGAGAAAGTTTCTGTCTGGAGCACATAAAGCACAATCTACATACTGACTTGAAATGTATCTGACTCAAGTGCTAAGGTATCTAAACTATGTGTTTGATGTGCTTCAGTTCAAAAACAATGTGCAGGTGTAGCGCTGGTCATGTTTATTGGAAAAGTATTTCGCCCTAAACCTTCATTCTTGCTGTTGGGTTTAGGGTTGGAGCGTTTGTTGCCGAAAAGCTCAGTCTAAATTCCCACAACTGTTTTCTGTCTTTCCCTGCATCTTGGCGTATCACAAAACCTTCGCTGCAGAGGCGTAAATGTGAGGACGTCATCGGCGGGTCTAGAAAATTCTACACGTAGCGACAAAGGAATGGCAACAAGTCTGGACGTGGCAGAGGCCACGTAATGCATGCAAGAGTTTTAAATGTGTCGGAAGGTAAAATAGATAGTCCTCACTGTGTGGTGAAAATATAAACACGATCCCTTATCCAACCTAATTAGTAACAGTAACAGGCCTTTTTGTCCAGTGCAGATTTATTCCTGAAACATGAAGTCATGGATTTATGTTCAATGAATTCAATCGCATATATTGGAAACATGTCACATGCAACTGCATATGACAACACTGATTTTGTTAAAAATGTATTTGTTGTTTCTTATTGTAATTTTTTTTTCTGTTTCATAACTGGGATCAATTAAAATGCATGTGTGATTGAATTTAGATTTGTTTATTTGTAAGATGCCTTGAGACGGCATTTGTTGTGAGTTGGTGCAATATAAATAAACTGAATTTAATTAATTGTAGGCAAATTTAAACTCTGGTTATTCTAAGAATTTTAATTGAGAGATTATCCCGACGTAACAAAATATTTCAGGGTTTCGCACATCTGTCCGTAGGGTCTCGGTATATGTCACTGGCTTCGCAACATCTCTTGCTCGATTCTCATCTCCCTTCAGTGCGCCGTCTGATTTCTCCCATTGAGCGGTAGGGTTAGGGTTAGCCTAACCCTAACTCTACCCACACCTCCAGCAAACAGCTGATTCTCAATAGCAAAGCAGCAAAGCGTAATTGATTTTTGACATCATCTCCAAAATGAATGCCAAAGTAAATATAAAACCAGTAGGAGTAAGAAGTCGTTATGAAAACACTTCCAAACACTTGTTGAAACACTTTTGAAAGCCCTTGAATGTCTCAAGGAAGATCTGTCTCTCACACCCACGCAAGTTTGACGAAGGAAAAGGTGACCATGAGGTCCGACTGGCTGCCTACCGATCGACCTGTGATGACTGGAAGGTGGTCATTGCCGTCCTCCACATGGACGACGACTGAAGTTGAACTGGACAACTGGACGACCTCACCGTGGTCTATAGCCTCTATTACCAACATGTGCTTGCTGGCCACCTGTGATGTAAGAAGAGACAGTATCATCAGCGTGAAGGGTGTGGAGGGAAAATAAAGGTATTTTCTCTGGAATTGTGTGCTCCTCCCACAGACACAGGTCAAGTTTGGTGCAGCAGATAAAGGTTTTCCTTGTTCTGCATTCAGCAGTACTCAAGAATCAGCACACCCTCAATGCTTGGATACACACCACATCTTGTGAAATTTTTTTCTTTTTATGTGCAATCTAGGCAAACTGGAAATAGTTGTGCTATTGTTTACCTTTCAATGCAACTATTCCTTATCTGCTTAGAAAAAGGGAGTGTCTTGCCTCGTGATCGAAACAGCCTTTAAATGACAGCGCTCCAGTTTCTTTGAGGACGAATTCGATGTTTGAAGATTCTGGGGAAACCGATTTGATGGCGTAGTGGAAAGTTGAGTTGCGGGTATTTGGCTTATCTCTGTCAAAGGCTAATACGGTGAGGAGATGGGAGCCTGCAGAGGATTGATGATTTAAAAAAAAGGGCTTAGAACAGAGTAATAAAAACAAAAAAAAAACAGGAGGCCTGCTCAACCGTTTTACCTTGAGAAAGAGCCTCTTCAACCGTGACTTCATACAGAGGTTCCTCGAAGAGCGGCGGGTTGTCATTGATGTCTCGAATTGCAATCTCAACTCCGAGTCGAGTGTCAGTCGACTGGTCCTCCGGATTCTTGGCTTCAAAACTTAGCTACACATCCACAAAGAAGCAAAGTTACCAAGTGAACAAAAGACTTTATAAAATGCGATTAGATGCAGATATTTCTAAGTCAAGACCACGTCTAAACCAAGCAGTTTTGCATCTACAAATCAATTTGTTTATCCAAGTTATCCAAGGAAAGCTTTCCAAAATACCTTAAATTCAAACCAGGCAAATGTGTTATTATTTTGGTCATGTTATTGTTTGAAAGAGAATCAATTTTTGCTTAGCGCAAACACATGATCAAAAATGAAGATGTTTTTGCAGCCATAAACTTTAGGGCAAAAAGAATCAACACACTTTTATACTTTTTGTAGTATAAGGACCTGCAGGACCCATGCATGTTTGATTATAATTGGACTCTCTCATCCAAACTTGAAAATAAAAAGACAATACAAATTTCTATTTTAAATTTAAAAAAAAAAACAACTTCAAGCTACTTTATTTCAGCTAAATGGCTAAGTAAAGAAAATTGTTTTGAATTTCGCATTAACAATCATCCATTGTTTTTCCCTTTCTAAAGTACATGCTCTGAGATCCCAGTTAAGTCTAACTAAAACAAAAACACATTTATTCTACAAAATATATGTGGTCTGAGTGAGAAACCGAAAAGTTCATGGCTCGCGGCCCCTGAGGTGCGAATTCTGTCACCTGCTGAAATGCAGAAGTCGTTGGCCGACCGAGACGTTTTGTGTAAGGTCTGTGAAAAACAAACGAACCTTTAGCACTTTGTACTCCTCGAAGTCCACCGGCCTGGAGACAAAAATCTGGCCAGTCGACTCTTGGATGCTGAGGACGCCCTTTGGGTCCTCGTCCACTCCTTGGCCTTTCAGCATGAAGAGTACTCGATATTTGCGGTCGAGAGTCACCTGCAACACAACTTTTGTTTTTCACAATCTGCTTTTACAAGAATGAACATTTCCTTCACACCTGATAAAAATATACAGAAGGATAAGTTATTAAGCTCTAAGCATATCTGCATAGTTCACGTCTTGTTTTGTCACATGAAGAAAGACCGGTTTTCTGAGACGTCTTTACCTGGCCCAATACATAAGGGAAGGGCCCCGGGTTCCCTTCTTCTATCTCGTAGGAGTCGATGATCCAGGCTCTCTTCTGGCGGCTCAGCGCCCCTGTGCACGACGGACATGGCAGCAAAAATATCTGAAAGATAAAGAGCCGACCAAACCTGAAGGGCAAGGAAAGCCGGAGTCGACACACCAACTAGTTTTGCTCTGCTGCATGCTTTCTATCTGTCAAGTGAAAAACAAAACGGCTGACTGGAAATGTTTTCTCTGAGTAGCTTGAAGTATTTTTTATTTTTTTTTTAAGTTAACGTAACCAGAAACAAACGAGCAAAAAAAAAGAAGAAAAATAACTTAACAAAATTTAAAACGTCTCAGTTTCCTAAAAGAAAACGAGATTCAAACTTAAATCAGAATCCCGAGATAAACTTATGTAAAGCAGAACCTCTGAAGTAAAGCCTGAAATGTTTACTACAGGTGCTACATACCAGCAGGAGTAAGAGAAGCATGATGCGTGTTCAGTGCCTCCAGTGCAGAGTGTGTGTGTGTGTGTGTGTAAAAGCCTGGACTCCAGTCTTCACACACACCCGCATCAATGTCACAATCACAGGTTACAACTGTCTGTCTCTTCCAGCTTAGGCAATTTTGTAGTTTTAATTATGGCTTTGAGACGTCACGGGGGAGGGGATCTGCTCCCATTACTGAGTGGACGATCAGGTTTCGGGCGCACACATGTGGGTGGCGTCCTGCCAAATTATTTCCTGAATGTTTCGTTTTGCATGATGAGTTGGAGGGAAACTATCAACTGCTGCAAAAAAGGGAAGTGATGTTACAGCTTTAAGGAAGTGAAAATCAGATAGATCTGGGGCAAACTGAGTCCTGTCAGGTTAAATTACAAAAATGTAGGGCTCTAAACTTCAAAACCCAGAAACGCTGTCTTAGACATTATAGACCGAAAAAAAAATACAAAAATAAAGTCAAAGGGACACTTTTAGAGGAGAAAGAGCAAGTGCTCTACCACCACCAAGTTTCTATCAGTGCACATCTTCTGGGATGAATATGCTGTACTTTTTTTATTTAAACTTATTTGTATGAAAAAAATATTAGTCATGAATTACATTCATTTAGGAAGTTTATTAGACCCCCTAAACTGAATGAAGCTTGAAGATTTATTATGACAAAATTTACCTTCTGTTGTGCTAATGCTGTATCTCTAAAATGTGGCTTAAGAGAAATTTGACTTAGTAATTTAATGGCTTGAAATGGGACCTCTGTGTTTTTAAAAACCTGAATCTCCACATTCATTAAGTCATCACAACATGGCTCCTTTATGAACCTTTTAACTACGTCTTTACCACGCAACGAGAAGTAGCTCGTATCATGAGCTCAACTGATGCGCAGTTCCACCAGGTGTTTGCTAATCGCTGCTGGCTAGTCTGAAGGAGCTGAGTGAGGCGGTTGCAGGGGAGGGCTGGGAACCGCAGCTCTGAGGAGGAGCTTCGTCCTGGAAGGCGGAGCTAGATCCACCCAGGCATTTAGCTGAATGGTTGCCAGGATAGAGAAACGGATTTTTCAAGCATGCATGAAAGAATCAGGGCAACACTCCAGATATGTTTGTTGTATGAATTAATACAATTATAATATGATGTAAAGCTAAAAAAGAAGTCGATTTTACATAATACTGCCCTTTTATCATTTAAATGAACACATTTTCAGTGTTTTAAATTACTCTTCAGCCTATGTTCTCTCTTCTTTGTCAGTGTGGCCTCATGCTGAGATGATGGCCTGCAGAAAGCTCTTTTGTGAAAAAAGCCTTTTTGAAGTCTGACTAGCGCTTGTGAGTTTTGCCTGAAGCGCGTACTTTCTAATTGCGGTCCTCGTTACAAAACCCCCACAAGAACCGGCTCTATTTCCGTCTTCCTTTATTTTCAGTACAACACACAAGCTGTGAAATGCCAACTTAAGCAAAGTCCCTGTTTGCTTGGCGGCGTCTCAGTGCTCTGCTTTCCCACTGGAACGAAATAAAATGAAAACTGATAGAATTTCTGTCATCTCTTGTTTTAGAGTTTTATTAATACTGTACAAAAATCATTATTTTTCACATTAAACGACAAGAAGGAAGACCAGTCTAACCAGAATCGCCATATTTACACTACGTGGCCCGCACCATGGAAACCTACTGCGGGTCAAATCAAAAGTCTTTCCTCAAACAAACGTCCTCCTCTGGCTGAGGCGTCCTCCGTCACTGTTTCGTACGGGAGCTTTCTTCGCAGTAGGGGCGCACACTCCGAGCTCTCCGCTCTCCTTCCTCCGGCGACACGCCTCTCTTCCCGGCTTCGCCGCCCGCCGTCTCCTCGCTGTCCGACCCGACCAGAGGAGTGTCTCCTCCGTTGACGTCGGCGGCCTGGCTGTCCGAGGAGGAGTCCGAAGACGTGGAGGACATGCGGGACTTGGCGTCCAGACTCTCCAGGACGTGGCGGAACAGCCCGTTCCTGATGGCCGCCTCGTCGCTGCCGTGGCCTGCTGATGTTTGGAGGTAGAAAGCTCAAAGTCGGTTTCATTTTTGTTTTGTATGAGCCACACTCTAAAAAAATGTCACACAGCTATATGGGCATATTATTAAACATTTGAGCTGCATTTAGTTCCCTACTGACTGACTTTTTAAGTCAAAGATCTATATTTTGAACTGGTCAACATGTTTTATTCTTCAGTAAACTGAAACATGAAAAAGGCGGGAATGGAAACAACTTCCCAGGGTGCATAGCGGCACGTTGTTGTGTCCTGCGTTGCACCATTAGCAGGTGGAAATGTGTTTACATGCCTGTTATATGGAAGAGAGGCAGATATACTAAAAGATAAGAATCCTAACGTCATTCTCTGAATTTTGACAATTTCACAAAATTCTGACCGATCTCAGAATTTGGACATTTTCGTCTGAGTTCAGTCTGACCGATGTTAAGAAAAAAAGTCTGAATTCTGAGATTAAAATCTTTTATATTTAGTGCTCATTGTGGCAAATGTTAGTTTAAATACAATTGACAGATAGAAATGATTGAGGCTATAATGTTGCTAAAGTCCAGCTCAAAATAATAGACTGACCAACTAATCTTTTCCTTAGCTACTATAACAGGGTTGCTAGAAATACATGTGATTTTCTATAGGGACAATGTACATTTTTGTTATATTCTGTGACATATTGATCCCTAAATACTGTCAAATGTAGCGAATTAAGTAATAAACCACATTTTCCAGTTGGTCATTGGTAAATTTGAACTTCAAGCCTATAAATGTGTTGAATTTTATTTAATTATGCCCTTTCAACTCAGCTTTTCAATGTGGTTCACAAAATACCTTTACCATTACCATTTAATGTCAATTAAATGTTTAAGATGGATTTAAAAACATGACTTACATTTCCTGACTACAAATGTTTTGTTCCAACCAATTTGAGGGCATTCAAATGAACTCAATATCTTGTAAAAAATGTTACTGCACATTGCTAAATTTAATCAGGGTATGATTTTTTTTTTTTTTTTTGGAGTGCATTACGACCCAGTTTCAATGGTTCCGATACCCGGCAGCGGCGAGGACAGCACCCCTTCCTCGCCCACAGAGCTGAAGAACACATCCACCGGGTCAGGGTCAGAGAGGTCGATCAGCTCCATCTGGTCCAGGAGATCCACGTTCACCTCCATGGAGGAGACGCTGCCGATGGGCGCTGCAAAGTCCAAAGAAAAATAACAAAAAATCAATTAGGACGGTTTCATTCGTGGACAGCAGAAAGCCCGCTGCCGAACGTCCGGCTTACGTCTCCTGTAGTCCTTGATGCACAGGTGTGCCGAGGACAGGTAGACGTCCACTTCGTGCTGGAAGACCTCCTCGAAGAAGCGCTGGCGCTCCCTGAGCTTGAGCTGCTGCGCTGACTCCATGTCTGGAAGCCTCTGGGCATGCTCCGTCTCTGCTGGGGACCGCAGGACGCAGCAGGACAGGGAGTCAGACGTTGCTGCAGCACATTTCCTATTTACAGGTTTACTGTCAACAGGAGGATGTGACTCACTGCCCAGGGCAGCAATCCACTGGGGAGCGGCACGGAAACAAAATCAACAAATAAATGTTTCTGATAATTACACTCCAATCTGTTATCTGGTACTGAATTGTCATCTCTTGGTGATTGACGATTGGTTGCTGGAGGGTGAGTCAGAAAATAATTACTGTTCTCTGCAACCGGCGAGCGACGCTCAAATTGGCACACGGCTCAAGAACAAACAATCTGAAATCACTTCTGTCAAATCCAAACTGGATTATTCTTTGTTCACGAAGACTTTCAAAAACACTTTGAGATTATTGAGACTTTTATACTATTTCCGGAAACACAAAACATTTGCATTGTTCAGAGTTGTTTTGGCATCAGGACAGTGTTGGTCTTGTTATATGAACAGATTGCATATCCTAAAATAAGTCATTTTTTGCAAAGTGCTTTTTTGTTGTTGCCTAAGTTATCTTTAGGCAATAAAGAGGTGGTGGTATTTTTTTTCCTTTCCAAAATCATTTTGGGCCATTATTTTAAGAAGATGACAAAGTGTATCTGCTCTTAGTGTGTGCAAAGTTCATCAGAGGTTCCTGATCGTCTTCTTATGACTCACAGACCTCTCTGCTCGTTCGGTACATCCTTGTGTCTCGACTCCCAACCAAAACCTCTTTCAAATTGCTCAGCAGCCCAGCGAGCCAGAAGAGGGCGACATTGAGCTGTGGCCCAGAAAGCGCTTTATGTCCCTTCGTTCTGTTCCTGAAGAAAGCAAGCAGTAAACATGACAATGCCAGGCTTAAAGTGATGCGCATGTGAGCAGTTTCATGTTTATGCAACTCCGCAAGCATGCATCTGTGAAGATACACAGTTTTTAAGCCCCCTGTGTTCATCATTTGTATGAAAATGCAAGCTTTACTGAGGGCATCAATGGAAATGAAAGACAGCCGCACTTTGCTCGCCCACACATTTTCAGTCTTGCTCTTAAGATTCACAGGGTGAACTGTGCGTCCTCTCACTGAGCTAATTCTGTTTGAGGGACCATGTGATCCCATTTTCCTCCTCATCAGCATCACTGCGACCCGAACTGGAGTTTACCAGGCTGAAGAGAACCCTAGAAAAACCGAAGTTCTCTCCTTTTAGATTATTAACCTCAAACTGAAATCAAGACAGGTGGATGGTTTATCAGAAAACTTGAACAGAAATGTGTGAATCAGTGGATTTACTGGCAGCTGCTAACATCTGAGATCCGAGCAGCGATTCCAGCCCGCAAACAGGGATTGAACTAATTGGATCAGGCGTCTGATTCATGTCTAAACTGGGAGTGAAGTCAAGCTTATCTCGTCAGCGTAGGGCCTAGCGACCTAAAAATGCACCAGTGAGTGCAATTTAGACCAGATGAGTCATCGCTTGTGTCAATGCGAGGACGCTTGTGATCTCAGGTTTTCTGTGCTACTTTATTAAGTCAAAGTAGCACAGAAAGTGCTGCAAAAAAAAAAAATAAAAAATCCTTCTCTGGAAGTGCTAAGGCAGCAAAGCTGATCTACAAGAGCAACAGGTCGGCCTGTCTGGTGTGCTGCATCAGCACAGTGCTCCCCATGAGTCACGGCCAGGCGCACATCTGCGACGGCGACATGACAGGAGCCTGTCAGCGCAGCGCCGGCCTGAGCTGACAGCTTGTTGACGGAGACCGCGATGAGAAACAGAGCTTCACCAGGGAGGCCGGGGACATTTTAAAAACCTTGGGGTCACTGGAAACAACAATCGCTTGAACCTGCTTTCTGCTTATTTGTGTCCATAATAAGGAAATATTCATTTCCGCTCATTGTGTAGTAGGGGGGGCAACACTGGGAATTTTTGTATTGATACAAGGGGAAGTAAATACAGGGTATCGCCGATACTGATACCAATATTTAAAAACATTATGAAGGTATTTAATCCTTAATCCAAATGTAAACGTTCGCTTTTGGTATGAACTCTATGAGGACGTTTGAGGGGTTTCCTGAACACATGCAAACAAAAGTATCAATCTTATTGACCAGATACCAATACTCACCTTGGTATCAATATTTATCTTTTTTAATAAAAAAAAATAAAACTTAAAATAGCTTATCGATGATACATATTTCAGTGTGTGTAGTCAAATTTGTAATCTGTGATGGCTTACCAGAGCAAGAGTTTCATAAAGAGACAGTTCCTTCATTTTTATTTTATTTTTTCATGTCTGATAACAAGTGAAGTTAACATTCCTACTTTGTCATGCTGTAAAATGCATAACACCACCCCTTTAAGTTCTCCAGAGGGACCTTTCTAATTGTTACGCAGTTACAAACAGAGCTTTCCTCAGCGCTTTAACGGGAGGCGAGGGGCGCAGAGTTGACAAAGCGATATGTCTGACACAATAAGAAGCGGCCTGCTTGACGTGCGACTCTAAATGTTCACTGCGTCCAGCTGAGAGCAGCGTGGCAGAGAGAAAACGCAGGGTTTTGTTTTGGAAAGCAGCTAACCTGAGCTGGATTAGATTGACTCTCTTCAAGGCTGCAGGTTTAAATATAGCTGCTGCTTATCCTGGAGTGTTTTCCCACCCGGTTAAACACTGATTGATCACGCCATCGATCGTTTCCACTGAAAGCCTGATGCCCCTGAGCGGCTAAAGGTTAGTTACAGACGTACATTCTCACATTGATTTTGCTTCCTCGTCCAGGAGTTAGTTTCTTTGGTCACCAATGACCCTGGTGACCTCTGAGTATCCCAGGAACTCACTTGGGCAAATCTTCAGTGAAAAAATTACAAGTCTGTTGAACATCAGTTCGACACAACAACAAAGTCATTGGTTTTTTGGTGGAAGGAAGGAAGAATGTGAAAGATTTCATTCACTCAGTCTATTTTGGCTCTCCCCCTCCTGCTCCCCCCTCGTCTTTCCTTCCTCTCTCTCACACCGTGGGACTTGAGAAGCAGAGGTCCATAAGACCAGCTGGACACGCAGAATGACTGGAAGAGACAGAAAAGTGTTTGGTACAGACGGAGGAGGCCGGATGTGTTTGCATGCCACCCCGTCTCCCCACATGAAGACAAACCCAGATCTTCAGCTCAGGCAGCAGGCAAATAAAAGGCCCTTTCAAGGCAAACACAAAGGCAGAGATGTAGCTGAATGGGACTGACTGCTCTCCTTGACGATAATGCGAGTTCCTAGAGTGGGTAATTTGGACAGATTTAAAAAAGAAAATCACTAAAATTCAAGTCAGAGTGGCCGGATAAAAGTAAAGTACCAAGGAAAAGTTTTCATGTCCGTTGAACTTTTCCCCCTTATGTCACATTAAAAAAAGTGACATAACATGTGTGGGGAAGTTGGTTTGTCAGTTTTATGTAATTGATTTTATTTTATTCCGTTTGCCAAAACTATCTGAAAAGTGTGGAGCGCTTTTGTGAGGCAATGCTCTTCAGATCTGTGATTCGCTGCAGTTTCATCTGTACGTTTTCGGTGACGTCCACAGATTAAGATTTTTCTTCTTTGCAAATTAGCGCAAGACCATTCGGAGCCACAGTTTTCAAACAGATTCTCAGTTGGATTCCGGTCTGAAGAAGACGAAGAAGACGACAGGAAGTGGCAGGAGAATGACGGAGCGGTGTGTTTTTTTTAATGACTTATCCTGTGAACCAATTCATTCAGGTGTGATTTTAATTGCGTTTTTTTTTTTTATTAAATGGAAAAACCGTAATTATGAAATTTTGGTTTTGCAACATTAGCGGAATATCGACAAAGTTTTGTGTAGGTTTGTAATGCAGCAATGATTTCATTAACCCTCAGATTAAAACACACACAGGTTGACTCTTTACTTGCTTTGTGATCTCTGAATGAATTGGTTACGCTGAATTTTAATTGCTATCAGTCAGAAATAGAGCCCTCACACTTTTCAGTACTTTACTACACTTACTACAATTAGTTAAGTCTTCGGCAAAAAAGAAAAAAGAAATCAAAGTAAAATACATGACCTCATTCTAACGAGACATTTGGAAGTCAATGGGTGTGAATACTTTAAAGAGGCAGCGTGAGGGCGCCCTCATACCATCGTCACATTTTCACAAAAACTGTGTCACGATGACGCTGACCACACGAAAGGGCTCTGCGCGGCATCTAAGAAGTAAAACCCATCATCCCTTTTTGATCATTTAGAGCTCAACTAAATCTCGTCATCTCCTCGCGGCACAGCTTCTAGTACACAAATGAAAAAGAAAAACCAGGTCACTCTTTGTGTCTGTTTAATGTGTGGATGCTGCATGTTTCTCTTCCCCCTTGTTTTTTCTTTTTGTTTTGTTTTTTGTGAGGAGCCGCCCGCTGAGATGCCAGGTTGGAAGCGTCAGCTGCAGCAGCAAAGCATTGATCCCTGAGCTAAATGAAGGGATAGGAGGGCTCGGTGTCGCCCACAGGCTCCCATTAGGCCCATCAGTGAGCTGGAGGAAAATGTGAGCTCACGCGAAGCTCCCCGGTGACGAAGAGAGGGAAGGTCAAGGCCAGAAGCAAACGCCTCTGTGGAAACATTTCCCCGTCGCTTTGGAACAACAGAGAAACGTCGGAGGGAGAATTAAAACGTCTGGGAATCGCTGCTTTCTTCTCCACTTTAATGGCAGAGTAGCTTTGCACAATCCAACTTTGGTTCTGTCTGAGCTGGGAAGTGATTTTCCTACCCAAGTGGATGAAGTCATCCCTGTTTAAATAGCTCTTGTGTCAGCATCCACCGGGAAGTCTTGACTTGAATGATGCCTATATAAAGGGCCAATTCGAAACTAAATATTTGGACTTCTGTTCTTGTTCTTGGTACACCCAGTTCCATTTGGATTGTTACAATAAAGTTCATATGAGTGCTTGTGATGGTACCGGTATTAGTACATGTGTTAGTCCCGTAAATTTGGTTCGTTTGGGGACAAAAAATTGCAACGCTTGTTACATTTTCAGCTAGTCTGGTTCGCTTTCACACTGCACCGTGCCAAATGATCCAAACCCTCTGAAAAATCTGTTCTCCTCTTGACCTGTGGTGGCGCTGCACCCAGAACCACTGAAGGATGCGACACGACAACATCTGAAGAAGACCAGTGCAACTTTCTACTTTGTAAAATGTTAACCAAAAATGGAGCAGCGTCAGATTTTAGCGGTTGTAGGTTTTCTCTTTTGTCTTTGGTTGAAGACCACAAACCATTTCGCCGACCAGCGCTAGACTCTCGCATTTGTTTAGGTTGCATTTACCCAGAATGCCCTGCGGCATAGTTTGATCACACGTTCGCATCTTCCCAGTTTAACCGGACTTTGTAGGGAGATGGACTAGGGTTTGATCAAAGTAAACAGGGCTGGTGTGGATGCACCTGATGAAGAAACCATTTCGACAAGAGGACAGCACTTAGTTTTCACCTACAGCATTTAACAAGGTTAGAGGACGAAGGCAGAGAGGGACCACCAACAATTTCCCTTTAACAGCATCTGCAGACTGTCCAGATTCATAAGTTCCTATCTCCTCTTCAGCTGGTCTGTTGCAGGATTTTGATTTTACGTCTGGTGAACTATTTGTGTGCTGACTTGGCCGTATGTTTTGGGTCATTACCTTGTTGATAACCCAGTTTTAGTTACTGCCAGGACTTTCTTTGTGTTTTTGTATTTCATGCCATGCACATCATGGGGTTGTCAGGACCTTCTGAAAGCAAAACAAAACAGGATCCCTCATTCTCCACCATATTTAACTTTGGGTATGAGGCAATCACTGGGAGTCTCCTCTGACCAAAAGCACATGGGTCCGGTTACGGTCCCACAGTGTTTCGGAAACTCTGGGTGTTTACATTTCTGGTAGTAGGGTAGGACAGAAAAGGCTTTTAGAGCTTGATGACTCAAAAATGCCACTTTTTGCTCCAGTGTTCTTGCAATTTATTTATTTTTTTTTTTCACATTTACCAAAATCAAATGCTTCACTTTCATTGATTTTATTGCAACATGGTGTTGTAGCAAATCACTGATAGTCCAGGGTTTTTCAAAGTGTGGGGTGTGCAGAAAGAGTAACTGCAAACATTTAGCCAACGTTATCCAACCTGTGTCAGAGATAAAATGGACAGATTTTTAGTTCCTAGTGCTACAATCAGTAAGGAGGCAAAATGAGAATGAAAGAGATGAAAGTATGACCACAATTATTTAAAGCATTTAAAGCAATTTCTTTTTCCAGAACCCTAAATGGACTGTGGCCAAACAGAGGGTTTTTTAGTACTGTAAAGCACTTTGAAGACCTCTGACATAGTCCAAAGCTTTTTACAGACCTCTGTTATTTTTCAGTCTCTTACACTTTTAGAGAGTGAATGACCTTTTCTGTGACCTCTTAGCCGGTCCACAGTTCAGATTTTGAAACACGGGGATCTTCCTGGTCGTGAATGCTCTGGGCGTCCTGTCCAAAGATGGAAAGACTGTGTCACTCTTTGTCCTTTGTCCTACCGCGAGAAGTCAGGATACGGACGCAGGCCTCCAAGCGGTTTGAGACCAAAATCCCTCTCCCCTGCTCCTTTCCTCTCTCCTCAGAAATAAAGTGGAGCAGTCAGACTTTCACTCTCAAGTTTTGGCTTGGAACACTAAAAAAGCTCCCGCTTTACAGGAATCGGGTTGCAAGGTTCGTAAATTATTAACAATCCCTGCTGATGCTCGGTTGTATTTGCGGGTCTTCCCACCGTCATGTTGGCTCAGGCTATGTTTGCCAGGACAAAGCTGTGTCCAGCACCGTCCATCGGCGCTGACATCATCAGCGGGAGACCTCTTCTTGGTCCTGCCAGGACTGACAATAGGGCCGTTTATAGGTCATTGTCCTGTCCCAGTACCCTCCACATGTCCACCGGCAGGCTGTCATGAGTTCTGATTAACACAATAGGCTTTACCAGACGATAAACCACTGATCCATGTTTGTTTCCTGCACTGGCAAATCCTTTTAGACCGCATGGTTACTGCTGACCAGCAGAGTGACTGCATTTAGCTCCAATTGCCACTTGGAGGACTTAGACATTTTTTCATTTTCATTTCGATTGGAGTTGGAAGGTTTCACAATGTTATTGAAAAACACGATTTACTGAAATTTACTAAGACAACAGCCCCCAAAAAACAACAACAACAACAAGACACGTGTTACAGTGATTAATAAACAAATGAGCAAACTGTGTCTTTGTCTCAGAAAGATTGAGCTTACATATAGTTGAAATTTCAAACATTATGTAAGAACTGTCAGGAAACTATTTAACATGAAAGGATTGTGGTAAAAATGTTCAAGGAAGAAATAAAAATTGTTCCTGAAAGTCTATATAGAGGTTGTAATAACTTCAGCTTTTTATTTTTTTATCTTTTTTTTTTTACAAAATGACTGGCTTTTGTAGAGGAGAGCTGGTCATTTGAAAAATGCCAAATTTTGATGAAAAACTTTGATGTCGCAGCTGCAGTGAGGTAATACAGGGAGCAAACAAAAAAACAGGGGACTGAAAACGCAGCCCTGAGGTTTGCCTCAGGTTTGCGTCGCTGAATCAGGAATGAGATTTGGTGATGGAAGTGGTGAGTTGAGAGGAATCGTTTGGTCTTTCGTCCAGTGCTCTCTGGCCGGGTCGCTTCAGACTTAGCAGGAAATCAAGTGCAGAACTCCTGGGAGGTCGTCATCTTTCCTCCCTCTGCAGCTTTTGTTAGTTTTGTGACTCACGTTAAGTTTTTTTTTTGTTTTTTTTTCCTGACACTTATTAACTTCCTGCAGCAAGTGTTCGGTCACTCTGGACAACCACAGAGACTGTGATAATCCCTCACTTTGAGCTCGGCTTCAGATCTCTTTGCTTGTTTTTTATAGCAAAATTTAAACTTTCCTTCTACTTTACAACTATCACCCAGCATTTCAATAAAATGCTCCGATGTTAGTGGCTGTAGCAGGACTTTTGCAAGACTCTGTGGCTTGTTCAATATATAGATTTTTTTACTTCTACTGTGCAAGTCTTAATCTCCTAAACAGAAAAAGCATAAGGCACAGCAACAACTACCTCAATGTGATCTGGGAGAGTTACGCTAAGCGATGATGAAGGTTTTCATCCTCTATTTTATGCTCATCAGGCAGCATCTCGCGTCTCAGCACAGGATCAAGCTCCTTCCCTCCAAACACAGCACAGTGGATCTCTCCGGCTCATTCCCACAGAAATCAAAACGTCATACAGCCGAATAGCAGGCACAACAACAGATGGGCGACGCCTTCTCCAGAGCCAGAACCCTGATCCATTTCAGTCTCGTGAAATCTCTGGACTCGTTGGGACTAATGCAGTTTCAGGCCCTATCTGGGTCGCTTCGTCTCTGAAAACAGACTGCGACGAGTCGGTTCTGACAAGATCTGCAGCCGCAATCCCATCAGGAAGAAGAGATCTTTGTCTGTAGTTGTGCATTGATCCCAGTCCAACTTTACCTCTCAATGTGTGTGTGTGTGGGTGTGTGTGTGTGCGTGTGTGTGTGCATTCCTGACAGAGTATGACCTGTTCATCTGGTAGTACCTAATATAACTCAGAGTGACGAGTCAACATTCCTTTCAGGTTTTTTGGCACTTGAACTTCGTTGTTCCGTCAACGCAAAGGCAGCTGTTGAAACACCGGCTGAGCCGCCGCACCGGATCCCACGAAAGCATGATGCACAAAGGGAGCTTAGTCTTGACAACAATATTGTTGCAAATGACCTGAAGATCTATTTACATGGTTGATAGCTGAGACAAGCACCATCACTCCCCTTTGGACAGAAACTGTTTTTGTCTAATCCCAATGCTGGCTGTACTCTGTTAGGATACGTTCAACCAAACATTAGGGTCAAGAAATGTGACCTAGATTATTGGGATGGACACAAACAAGCAGCTCATCATTCTTCCCAGGTGGCCATTTTGCATGTAAAATACAGAAAACATCCTAAGGTGGTAAAATAATGCCATGGAATAATATAAATACCAGTGGATCATGTTTATTACTTTACACAAGAGAACCTGATTGTTCACTGGGCCTGGTATTAGGCTTTTAGTGCCAATACTAGTCGTGTTCAGTAATCCTAATTAAACAAAACAATTGTCAAACAATATCAAAGTCATTAAGTATTCTTACTTAATATGTTTCAACAAATGAACGTTTTTAGTTGCATTATTTAAAAGTTGACATAAAAATACTCTTTTACTTATTGATGTCAAAAATGTGTGGAAGTAATGAAGAAAGTAAAGTGAACTTTGTCTTCCACTGTTGATTCGTTGCTGTTTTGTGACGTTGGTGAATTTGGTCGAATTCACCGTGTCGTCCTAAATCATAAAGGTGAGGAATATATTTGCCATAACGTGAGCTCCTTGTTTTATTTATTTCCAATGACAAAAAAATAAATAAAAATTTGTGGCAAAAATTTTTATGCCCTGTTGTGGTAAATCCAGTGTTGCCCATATTTTAAAATATTCAATCAGGTTGTTTTAACCCAGCAGCTTCTAGACTTCATTTTTGTGATTCATTTCAATCGGCAAAGGTAAAAAATTAAAAATAAATAAACACATGAACATGCAGAAAATTTTCTTATAATCAGAGGAGGAAATTAGCTCTGGCCTAATCCAGGTAAAAGTATGAAGTGGGGTAAATTGGAGCAACGCACCACCGCTGTGGTCGACAATTTGAACAGAAAAAAAGCTTCATTCAGTTTGAACTTCTGTCCAGGGGAGAACTGACTGTCTGGAGTCCAGACTGATGCGTTTACTGTCCATATTTGGTGGCCCTACGCTGTCATAATTTAACAAAAAATTATATTAAATCTAATTTGCTTGTACTTGTGGGATTTGTAATCGAAAGATAAAAAATGCCTGAGTTGCCAGTAAAAAATGTTCTCCACCAGCCACAGTGAAGAACATTTTTTATTTCCAGCCCTTCTCATAATCGAAACATTTTTGCTTAGCACCTCGAATCTGATCAAACCACAGGTTTAAAAGGAAACTTACAAGGTGGGTGTTTGCTTTGAAGGTTGGCTGAGGAGGAGCTCATGATGCTGTGAAAGTTGTTGGAAACAAAACCACCAGTCAGACGTGAAAGACGGGGTGAGGAGACGCTACCAGGCAGCCTCGTCAGAGTCGAACCAAAATCCTGACGCGCATCTTCCTCCTCCTCCTCCTCCGCTCTCTGCAGCCGCTCCAGAGGATCCGGATTCAGATCGCCTCCCTGCTGGCCCTTCTTCCCTGCTTCTCTTCTTCCTCCCCGAGGGCAGCGTGTGCCACTTGGATGAGAGCGAGGACAACTTTGTGGCTCTGTGGAGTCGACCAGCTGACCGATGACGGGCAGGAAGGAGGAGCTGGAAGAGAGCAGGGAGGAGAGGGAGAGGAGGGAGGAAGGGATTTATTTAACAGAGTGGAAAATACCAAGGAGGAACAGACACATGCCTCTGTTATTTTTGTCCCTCTGCTCCCCTTTCCTCTCCTCTCCTTCACCTCCCCATTAGTGTCTTTTTGTTCTTTTCTTCTCCTTGTCTGCTTGTGGTTTGAAATTGAATCTGCTTGAGTGAATCATGTTCCACATTTTGATAACCGTTATTAGTTTCCCTTTTTAAAAAAAAAAAAGAAAAAGAAAAAATAGGTGGGAAAGTTAAAAATGTTAGAAAATATTCTAACATGTGGAAGCAGAAAAAGATGACTTACAATTCTGTTATTGTTTCTCTATTTCTTTTGTTACTGTACTTTCAAATCTGCTGTTAAGTCATAAAGTGTCTATATACTCTAGTTTATTTATGAAATCAATCAGTTCTGATACAAATACTAATATTTAACCTCATCTAGTGATGAGATAAAATGCAAAGATGTCTTGTCATAGTTTGCACCCTGAGGCCACTCTGTCAGGAAGAAGGTGTTTCCAATCTGAACCCTAATCCCAATCCCACAGCACAGCTGAAAAGATTTGTGTGATCTAATAAACCTCACCTGATTACACGGGTTTTGTCAGGAGGAGAACTTCTCAGTTTGGAGAAAATTTGCAGAAATGTTGCATTTTTTAGCGTGTTGATCGGGTTTGGGATGCGGCTGTCATATTTATATATCTTTCCCTTCTTAAGAGTTATTTTAAATATTGCAGTTCAGTGTTGGAGTTGAGTTTTAAGATCCTAAAAGGTTGAACTCTTTACAAATGCAACACCTTTAATGACCTTTATAACAGTTTGAATGTTTGCTTCTTCATAATAAATAATTCACAGTTGTATTATTTTTGGAATTATATTCATTTTTACATGTATCCAGGTCAAATGTATATAATTGTATTAATGTTTCAGTTTGCAATAAACACATTATTTCAATCACCATGATCATTTTGTTTGTTTATTCAGTATATAAAGAACTTTGTGACAAATTGTGGCCCTTCTTATCCCGGTAGAAAAAAAAACCCCTAAAAACCAAACAAATCAAAAGAAAAAACCCCACAGTGCTCACTTATTGCCACCTAGTGGACAAAATATGTTATTTCCAGACTAATTTCCACTCAGGTTTCCAGGCCTCATATTTGAAAATGCTTCTTGTTTTTCTTCTTTCTTTTTCCAAAACACAGCACTGAGATAGACGAGGAGCCGTCTGGTTTCACTTACATGGAGAAAAAAAATAGCGATTGTGAGTCAACGCAGGAGAGAGCAGCGACTCAGTACGAAGAAACACCACATGACGGTCGTGAATATGTTCCTTCTGAATCCCTGGAAGACTCCATGTATCTATTGATGAATAAAACAAACTCCTTTTGTCTGGCATGAGAACAACAAACCTGTCCACACCACGGCATGGGGGAAATAAAGAATCACGAGTGAAACTCTCACTTTGGTCTGTGTGCCAAGCTGCAAAGCGAAACTGCAAATACAAGCTGCTGTGCAGCAGTTGGGAAGTGGTGGGAGTGACTGGCGATTTCTATCAATAAAAACACATTGGTTGTAAATGTCACCGGTTGCTGTGGTTCAGCCTAAATATGCTAATCGTGGCAAAGGCATGCAATGCAAGCTCTCACCATTGCCAAGAAACCTCCACCAACCTGCGTGTGTGTGTGTGTGTGTGTGTGTGTGTGTGTGTGTGTGTGTGTGTGTGTGTGTGTGTGTGTGTGTGTGTGTGTGGCAGACAAGAGCCAGAGATTTGAAGAAAAGAGGCACAGAAAGAGAGAGTGGGCAGAGGAAGCACGGTGTGAGTCAAAGTGAGAAATCCTCTTCACCACATAATAAATGTGCGTGGGCTTCCTCATGACTGGGGGTTCACCTGCTGAGGCCCTGCAAAATCAATAGCCGAGACAGAGGCTGGCGGAGCAAAAGACATGTCCTCTTTCTTCTATGAGATAAAACAAACAGCGAGTTTCCTGCACCGCCATGAAAGGGCTTTCTTTCAGGTTTTTTTTTTTTTTTAAACTGCAGTTCGTTTGGAATCTTTGATGTCAACCTTTCAGTGATTTCAACAAAAAGCAGTCTGAAGGACGTTCTCATTTGTAATATTAATTCACAGAATTTGGTGGAGCAGCATGAAAAGTATCGACACCATTGTGTCAGGCAGGTGGAGGTGGTGTAGTCAAAGTCAAGTTTATTGCATAACACATTGCAGCAAATGTGCCATAAACACATTGTGTTTATGATGCTTTACATCATAAACTTGTGTGACAGCATGGACTGTATCTTTTTGGCCCGGTTTGGCCTGCTGTATCCACTGAGCACCGCAGTCTGGCTGAGTGTTGTCCCTGTCCGTTTCCATCACTTTCGGACCACAGTTTGCTCATTTTCTGACAGGATAATGAGTCATTTCACACAACTTGCTCGGATCGTCTGGTTTCTTACACGTGACAGTGAGTTCACGCTACTCCAAAAGCCTCACCAGATCTCCGTCCAGCGGAGCGCCTTTGTTATGTAGTGAAAGTGGAGATTTGAATCAGGATTGTGAAGAGATGCTATCTTGTGATTATGAGTGAAACAAATCTCAAAGAAATGTTTCCAACAGCCTGGTGTGTGTACGCCACGGAGATTCCAGAGAGTTCCATCGAACGAAAACGCTGCTTCTTCCTTTTTTTCTTGTGAACGTTGGTGTCCACCCTGGTCTGAAGCAACTTACTGAACCGGGCGCATCGCCAATGCCATCAGGCAATCATACGCCTACCATCAGCCGAGGAGTTGCACAACACTCTCATCTCTAATTATACACCCGACAACAGCACGCCGTGGAGCGTGCTGCAACAGCGAAGAACAGAAGGGTTGATTGTGAACGGAGGAGAGGTTCAAGAGCAACAGGGTGAGCTAGTTCAGACGGGAGAGACTGAGAGAGAAAGAGAGCACGAGATGGGGAATCTGTCTGAGAAAGGTTAACAGGGCTGAGTGAGTGAGCAGAGTGGGAGTGCAAAAATGTAAAAGTGAGTAGGAGGGAAGAGAGAGAGAGAGAGAAAAAGAGAGGGGAGAAAGAGTGTCTGGTGAGCTCGTCTGGATGCCTGTGCTCATTCTGCTTTCTCACCTGCAGTGTGTGAGCATGACACAGGACACACAGGTGTGTGTGGAGGGATGACTGATGGACATGCGGCATGAAGACTAGAGGCACAGGTGTGTGAAAGAGGCAACATGTAAGTAAAACCAGTTGATTTTTTTTTTAAATGTATGCATGTAATGTTTACATACGCATCATCTTACTGACTAAGATGATTGTGGTGTGTTTGAAAAGATGCCAGAGTCTGACAGTCACAACCAGAGACTGAACTTCGTTATCTACCTTCTTCACAGAAGGAACCATTAAACTGACCAAGAGCAATATTGCCACTACCGATATGCAAATAGTTTCATCCACAGTCCTGATTAGCTTCAGAACGATGGCAGCAAACACATAAAACACTAATGTGTTTACATGTCATTTCCCTCAGATAGGCAGGCTGTAGTGATCAGCGTCTCCTCTTATGGACGCAGAAGGCTGCAGAAGCCTGACATCACTGGCATGTTCGAGTCATGATGTGACCATACCTGTGCAGATCACACTGTGAGAGTGTGGAGCCCACACAGCTGTGCTATTTGAATGAATTTACATGCAAACTGCAGGCGTTCAGCTGACAAACACTTGTCACGGTGAGAGTGTCTGTGCAAGACGGACTGCTCACACAGGGACATGTCTGTGTGAGGACGCAGTCTGATCTCACACAAGTTTGTATTCCCGCTCACATTAAGACTTTGTGTTGACTTGCATTCATTTTTGTCACTGCACTTACGGCTCATGCTGACATTTTTCCTAACCCTGACATTAACCAAACCTTCATTCACAACTTAACCACATCGTTTGTCATTAATTGTGATAAATTTTGATTTATTGTCACAAAAAATTCCAATTAATAATAATTAAAAATGCCTGAAGCTGTTCACATTGATTATTTTTCTATTTTTCTCCACTGTTTATCAATGTCAATATTAATAAATTTGGACATTTGTTTAAATGCAGTTACTGTGAGCAGCTTAGTGCTAATGAAGCGCATTACAAGCATTTTTCAAGAGTCGTACACGTGTTTGTGGGGTTATGATTGGTGGCCATGCAGAAAAAACCATAGTTAACTAACATTATCAGAAGTATTGAAACATGACAGTCCAGATCATCCAACACTAGCCATCGGTCTTCGAAGGGTTGGTACGTGTCCCAGAAACGCTCCTCAATAAGATAGGTAGACAAGTACACGCACACATCACACACCCCACCTCATATCAGAAACTTACAGGGCTTTGATAAAAGTTGTCACTTTTTCCTGTTTTGTGATGCCTCAACTACAAACTGAACAAACTCTGTTTTATTGGGATAGTGGATGGGAGCGAATAATTCATCCAAAGCATGATCAAAACCCATTTGTCCTTGGAGTCATCGAGAGGTAAGACACATCCTGGACAGATTGTCAGTCCATCACAGGGCAACATAGTCACACAGCAGGCAACCATGGACGTACACTGACAGCTCAGGACAATTTAGAGACTAACTAACCTAACAGTCATGTGAACCCACACATGCACAGACAGAATATGCAAACTTCATGCAGAAAGACCCCTGGCTGGGATTCACATGCATGACCTTCTTGCTGCGAGGCAACACTGCTACCAACTGAGGCACAGAAATGATACAAAATAACACAAGGTTTTCAATTGAACTTAAGTTTTTCAGTATTTTTTAAAAGCCACCTTTCACTGGAATTACAGCATCATGTCGGTGAGAGGTTTCTACACAAGCTTTGCTCTTTTACAGACAGATATTTCACTACAAAAACAAAACTTTTGTAGAGAAATAACACATTTTTGGCCTAGTTTCTAGTGGAAATATATTATTTTTCATTATTTTTCTTGTTGACAATTACTTGTAAGTTAGCTTTGCCTTATTTCAGTTGCACTAAAATATCGGCACTAGAAACTATAGACGCTTGGTAAGATTTTGTGTTTTTGCAGTGTTTACCCAATTTTGATTTGTAAAATAGCTAAAGTTTAGCCAGACTGGAATTTATAATTATTTCTTGCAATGGGTCCTTGCCACTCGTCCATAAAAGCCAGATTTGACTGATAGATGCCACGCCAACAGATTTTCCCACCTGAGCATTGGATTTCTGCAGTTCCTCCAGAGCTGCCATGGGCTTTTCTCTGTTACTTTTCTCATTGTTGCTGTACTTATTCTCCCTGCTGGTTAGTATGGACAGCGCAAAGAGAAAATTTCTCATGAAACCTGCTCTTACTTTTATCTTATATTTGATTAGCTCATTTAATTTAGTCAAATTTCTTAAACATTTGCATTACTGCTGTGTAATTTTTTATTTTGCAATTTTTTTTTTTAATCAAAATAGGTTTCTCTTGTAAATGAGATCCTGGATCTCAATGTCTGCATTTTCATTCGTCTTAAAATTGCACAGATTGGTAAAACGAAATAAATTGATTTCAATAAACATAGTTTTTGATTGGGGTTTTTTTTTGTGGTTTTTTTGGGCTATCTCAAAATAGTGCATTATGCAAAACTGCAACAGAAATCCTTTTTTCTGCATCACATGAGTCACATGATCAGCAACCAGATGCTACTGCTGGCAGAAAAGACAAAGACAGGAAGTGATAAGAGGATCGTGGCGCAGCAGGATTTTTAAAAACTCATTGCGCAAACAAACTTGTTTGCAATTTTAATTGTCTATCTTATTTAATAAAAACACAGCTATTGTGAAATTGTGTTTTTTGGACATTATCGGAATATCGGCAAAGTTTCGCACACATTTGTAATGGAGCAGCTATAAAGCCAACTTGTACAAATAAAGGTCAAATGTTTTTTTTTATTTTTTTTAAATACCTTAACATTTTAAAGTCTGCAGTGGAGTGACACTCTTTCCATGAACAGAGCTCTGTGAGATATTCAAAGGTCAAGATAACATTTAATAACCTAACTCTGCTTTAAATGTCTTCCATGGTTTATTCTTTGGTCTTTATGATGCTGGTTGATCTCTAATGTTCTCAGCCGAGCCTCTGAAGTCTTCACAAAAAAAGAAATGTAAAAACAATTACACACCTTCCCGTGTTTTCTCTTCTTAAAAGCGTGAATCATTTTTCAGTCACTTCATCACTGCACTCAACGTCACGTTGAAATCTTAATGAGATGCTGCAGGTTTTGACAGCAGGTGTGTAAGGGGCTTGCGAACGCTCTGCCAAGGTCTTGATGAGTCGAGGTTTGTGCATTGACAGGCTGTAAAAACAAACAAACAAAAAAAACGCTATTATCCACGTTTACCTAAAAACACGACACACAGTCGTTGATAGTAATCCACTGTGGTGTTTCTGGCCATAAGGTTGTTATATTCAACCCACCAAAGTGAGCTGACTCACTGTGCGAACGCTAACGGTAGATGAAGAGGATTCAGATGTATTTACCACCATATGTTTATGTCGTCATTTTTTTGTTGTTTTTTCTTTTTCTTTTCTATTGGAAAATGTTACTATCGCAACCTCAAGGGGTGTGAAGAAAAAAAATTCTAATCTGACCTCTGGCTTCACACCCACTCCCCACATTTTTACTCTGCCTTGTTCTCTCCGCACGCTTTCCTTCATCAGCCACACTGCGGGGCACTTTGTAACCATAGTAACTTCTCTGTTTTTCTTCTTCTTTGTAAAGGAGTTGGTAGATGTCCATCAAAAGAAAGAAAAGAAAACTTTCAGAACAGCAAATTGTGGTTGGAAAGCTGTAATTTGAAGCTGATGGTGAAGTTATTGTTCGCACGTCAAGGGGATATTTACAGGCAGTGATCTAACCGCATGTTACTTTTTGTTGGGGGAAAAAAAATTCTCTCACTCTTTACAAGAGGAGAAAAGAGAATCTCCTCTTCTATTTGCAAGGTTTGACATATCGGGAGATTATATAAAACTTAATGACAACAGGATGTGAGCAAGTGGCAATTTTAAGCTGCCAATATTTACTGAAGTAAAGGGGGAGGAAGCCAAAACAGAAAACCAGCATGGAGGAAATAATTATTCCCACATTAAAAAGAATAACTGGAACTTGCACAAACATGTTTCACCATTTCTTCCTTTTTCTGAGATCTGTTGTGTCTTTCTGGGTCATTTTATTTCCAGATTTTTTTCTGTTCAGAAGAAGATTATGGCTAATTTAGTAAACTAGCTAACAAAACCCAGATCATCACCCTTTCAGTACCATGCCTAACAGTTAGCGTGATATATTTCTGGAGCTGTTGTCTCTCAGCACCAGGAAACCTTTTCGATTTCTAATGACATGAGTCCACAAGTCTTGCTGTTCTTTCAGATGCAACTTTACAAATTCAGCCTGCGCTGCCATGTTATCTTTTATTAAGATAAATTCTTTGCTTCCAAGGAATCAATAATTCTTATGTTTGCTTTTCTTGCAAGAACATGAACTTGTACGTTTACTCACCGAGGCCTGCAGAGCCTCGTAGCTTTGTGGGGATTTTTGCAATTTTCCTGTGTTTCTGCAAGCTTTGTTGGGACGTCCCCAGCTGGCAACATCAGCAGACACGTTCAAGCTTTTGTCTTGTTTATGATTTTTTTTCTCACTGTTTGATCAGACACTACACATCTAAACCAGAACAATTGCCGTCCGAGATTGTGCAAAGCTGGTAGAGACATACTTTTGAGGACTTGCAGCTGTGACTGATTTGCCCACTTTTCAGATTTCTCTATCTAAAGATTTTAAAACTCGTGTAATCATGGCTTGTCACATAAAGCATTAACATTCCTTGGATCATGGCTGCACCATAGAAAATGCATAAAGATTGAAGAAAACCGTTGCAAGTGATTTCCCACAGTATTGTTGATGCCGTGTTTTTTCCCTACATACTAATAATTCACTTTTAAAACCCTACACTTTCTTGTGCCTTCATGAAAGGGATTCAGTCAAACTTGACTAAATGAAACTCATCAATATTTGTCTCCTTTGCCTATAGATCAAGATGACCTCGAGTGTGTGACAGTCGCCAAGAGACTAATGGCGGATTTGACACACGATCTCCGGACCAGCTCTATCTCGGCAGAAGGCAATGTATTCTTGGAGTGAATGACAGGCAAGGTGAGGCGATGAGCTTCACAACAAGCCCGGCTCTGGTCCCACATAGGGACAGCCTCCCGTTCAAGAAGAGAGACCAAAGAGTGAGCTCCCCTCAGCAGCAGCAGCTGCTGCAATGCGACGCCACAAACTTCAAGGCGCCCTATCCGTACAAGAGCCACGCTGACTTAAAGTCGAAGCACATGGGTCTGTTTCGGCCTGTGCCGAGGCGGGTCACGGCCCTGTACCAACCCTGGATGCAGATTCAACCCTCTCCCAGGCCCAAACAGCACGTCCCGTCCGCCTTCAGAGAGCACCACGGCTGGGCAGAGTGGAGAGACTTCAGTCCTCTGCCTCCCGGATGGGACTTTTCCCATCAGTACCAGCTGCAGAACCATTTATCCGGAGCACGGGCTCTCCACTCTGGATATCCACAATACGTCTCTAGAGTCAGCACGGGGTCTCTGGTGTCCGAGGGTGTCCAGAGGGGGAGCAGAGGCTGGGAGAGGCTCAAGGTGTTAAAAGACAAAACCTATGGCCCTCACAGAGGTCCGTATGCGAGGAGAGGGGAAAGAGGAGCTGATGGTTTGCAAAGGGCTGAAAGAGGAGTCGCTTACCCACCTCACTCCACGCACGAGGACAACACTTTGAAGCACAGTTCATTGTTCAACTCAACAAAAATTACACCTGGACAATCCCTCATGAAAGTTTCCCCCGACAGCCTCCATGGCGAAAGCTGCACTCCCATGAAAGAAAACAAGCAGAGGCCTCCGGTGGTGGCCCCGTCCACCCCCACCGGCCCCAACCGCTTCCCCTGGCTGCTGCCCCACTTCGTCGCGGGATCTCTGATTGAACTCAGAGACGGCCGGCTGAGGAGGGTGGAGAACCTGCAAACCGAGGACTTCCTGCTGGGCTCTCTGGCCTGTCCGGACCTGCGCCTGAGCTGCTGCACGGTGCAAAGCATCTCCCCTTCGGCCGCCTCCTCCTCCGTGTCCCGCCTCCTCATCCTGCTCCAGGAGCAGCAGTCCCAGGTGAGGGGAAGCCACTCTGTGGCTGGTTGTTACCATTACGGCCCCCGCACCAGCAGCTGTTAATAGTCCTTTTATACCTCGGCAAGCCTCTTTCACTTCATCGCAGGTCCAGGATGAATCATTTGAAACAAGTTCTTTTGAAAACGAGCCAACAAAAGAAGCAGATGGACACTTTCCCAATAAATGTCGGTTTTAGTAACCAAACCCCGCCAGCACCTCCTGTAACATCCGCCCACAAGTGCAGCTGCTGTTCTTAACATAAACAAGTCAAACAAGAACAAATGTAATTGTTAAACACAAGTGGTTTCTCCAAATTGAAAACAAAAATTAGACTTTTAATTCCAAGCTGCCGCCATTTGTAATGTTCGTTTTGGTCCTGTTTGTTCAGCTAACTAGTATGGAGAGTGAAGGAGTCCACGATTAATAAATGAAGACAATGTTACCCAAGCGACGATTGAAGCGGTTTAGTCTCGCCAGCAGCGGGAAAATAATTCAAGTTCTCAAACCCAGCTCTTATTTCAGCAGTCCACTTCCGCTCGTCAACAAGCTAATTGCAACGTTAGCTAAATGTTTAGCTAGCCACCTAAACATTTAGCCAGCTAGAAATGTTTGGTTTGAGCTAAATATTTAGTTTGTTGGACGAATATTTAGATTAGATGTTATGTGTTTAGTTTGGAAACAAAGCTTTAAGTTTGGAAAATAAATAGTTTGTAAGCTCAACTGCGACATTTATTTATATTGGTTTTATAAAATTTACATATTTTTTTTATTTTAAATGTTTCTTATGTTTAAAATGAGTATTTTATAATGATGCTGTTTATATATATTTTCATTTTAGTCTTTAAAATACCATGATATGCGCATAACTACTTTTTTGTGTGCCTCATTCTGTCATTTTAAAATGATAAATCAGAGTTTCTGATCAATTACTCTGAACTTTAGTAGCTTTTTTTCACAGTATCTTTTCACTCTTGCTTGAGTAATTTCTAGCACGGCTAATTTTTCCTTTCACTTTAGTGAAAATATAACAGTGATGCTGCTATTAGAATATTTTGGTGCTTGGGGGTGTGATGGCAATCTTTGACAGTTTCCACTTCCTGCCACCAGGTGGCGTAAGTGCTGTTTCTTTAACTTCACACATGAGCTGTGCTTCCCAGTGTCATTCTGGTGTCAGGGAAAAGAAAACACAAAACCAGACTGGTTTTGTGTTTTCTTTTTCCTGCAGTGAAATGTGACTGTCACCAGTCCAGATATCAGAGGTGTCACAGCTGGTGTGTGATTGTGCAGTTTAATAAGGATTTCTATTTAAAGTAGGATGTCTTGTTGAATCTGGATGGGATTTAAGTCAATTTTGCTAAAATATTGACAATATTGTTTAATTGGCTTTTATATGTGTGTGTGTGTGTGTGTGTGTGTGTGTGTGTGTGTGTACGTCCTTCCTTCAGGAGCTGGTGGATGTGTACGTGGAGTACCCTTTCTTTGTGCGCGGGCAGGGCTGGTCGTCCTGCAGCCCCCAGAAGACGGCCCGTCTTTGCGGCCTGCAGTGCCGCCAGCTCAGTGTGGGAGACGTCTGCTTGGCCCTCACGCCCGTCTCCGCTCCCGAGCCGCTGCCGTCAGACTCCCCACAGCCAAAAATCGGCCCCAAGGAACCTGAGGACAGGCTGGATTCCCCAGAGGCAAACACTGCGCTGTGCAGCCAGGTTCTACCTGAACTGAAGGAGCTCTCAGGGGAGCAGGGAACGGGGATGAAGGCGTCCCGCAGGAGGCACTGTTCGGCCCCGTGAAACTCAACCTCTATGGACAGTCAGCTATCATTGGCTGTCCAATGATATATGGTGCCTTGCAAAAGCATTCACACCTTTTGAACTTTTTGACACTTTGGCACATTAAAACCACAAACTTCAGAGTAATTTCCTCGTGACTGACCTATACAAAGTAGCACAAAACTGAAAAGTGAAAAGAAAATTGTCAGAGGTGGTTAGTACTGGTTACGTTTACTTGAGTAACTTTTTTAAGGGAAAAAAAATACGTAGGAGTAGTTTTATAACTATCGCTACTCTTTCTTGATCAAATTTATTTTCCATTTAAAGAAACTGACTTCAGAGATAAAACAGTTTTAGATTTCTGCTGTGTCTGAGCTAACGTTTATGCTAATCTGAGCATAATTACTCAGCACTGTCATACTGCTTAAATTAAATCCTCGTTTTTACTGTGTCCCCCAGCAAAATGCCTCTGGAGCCAGATCTGGTGCACCAACACTGGTTCCAGTCCAGGGGCCCACGTCCTTGTAAATCTGGCCCCGGTGGTAACACTTGGAAATTGCTGATCATAGTCGGTCTGGCTGAGCTTTAAAGCTGTTCTCATAATAATAATTGTCCAGAATTTGCGAAGATGAAAGGGACATGGCACCAAAAAAAACTCTCAGCTGTAATTGTCGCAAAAACTACAACTGCAATTTGTTTTATTTCTAAAACAAAAACAAAACATGGAAACCACAAACATTTTCTTCTTGGTCCACCACACAAGCTCCTAAAAAAAGGCATTTGTGGTTGTAGCGTGACAAAAATCGGAAAAATTTCAGGGGTGGGAACGGTCTTGTAAGGCACTGAGGATCTGGGGTTTCTTTGGATTTGTGCTGTGATCAGCGTATTGTCTTTCTACCTCTTGCTTCTGTGCTTGACTTGTCATCTTTATTGGCTTTTAAGTAGTCTCAGCTAAAGAGGACAGCTACACTGAGCTCACCTCTCAGGGTTAAAGGTTAAGTAATATGTCGCTAAGTGATAACGGAGAACCAAAGCATGAACTGATGTTGCCTTGGTGAGTTGCACTGCTCAGATTTAAACTCCTTTTCTTGCAATTCTGACAATATCTGCTCCTTCGTGGGATTTCCGCCTCTCAGGTCTTTCACTGGATCTAAAGTTCAGCTCTCTACTGCCAAATAACATGTGAACCAACTGAATCTGTACTGCAACACTTGTAAAGCTTCGTTCTACCTCTCTCTTCAATGTAGGATCTGTGTTTCTGACTTGCGTGGGCTGTGACACCATGGAAGCACCAAGCAGAGATACTTGATTTATTTTTTTTTTTCTGGTTCTTTCAAGTTGAAATTGTGTAAAAAAAAAAAAACACCACCCAAATCATTCTTAATGGGATGAAATTAAAGAGTGAATCACGTGGCTTAATCTGTAAGTCTTTATCTCTCTTTGTTTTCATTTTGTAGCCGAGGACAGCTGGATGAAGAAAGCATTTCTGATCTGATTTAGATAAAATGGGAAAATGCAACAGCGACGAGTTTAGTGAAGGAATTTCACTGGAGTTTGGAGTAGGACGAAATATCAAGTGACCAGTTTTCAAAGAGGGCTGGATTCACTTCGAAAACATAAAAACTGACGAGCAGGTATAGTTTTTGATATGGTCAAAAACTACACGCCAAACGCATCCGACCCTTCACGTTTGACGAGTGTGCACTTTGAACATTTCGTGTGTCAAAATCGCTCAAGCCGTTGTTTTCCATTGCCGGCCTATTTGTCGGACATATTGGATGCTCTTTACATCCAATATGTTGATTTCATTCATTAGGTTGAAATCACGCTGCGTTCAATGCTTAAAACGCGCCTCGACGCCCCTCCACATAGACTTTGAATGCAAGCCAGATGCGCCTGGCGCTCAAAGTGCTTTTGGTGTGAACGCAGCAGAAGAATATAAATATCACTAAATCACGTTTTCAGCTGCAACCAGTAAATTTTTTGTTGCGTGCAACTATGCAAAGCGTAAGCGCTGTTAGAAAATATAGCTGCGCATGAGGCCAAACAGCAATGTTGAAGTTGAGGCCTAATCCAAGACCTCTGAAGGGATCTCAGCTGTTTTTCTTTTATATCACCAGGTCGGCATCTGAACTGTAACTCAAAATCTAAGAGTTACTATTCATTGAACTATTCCATGCTTTTAGTGTTAATCTGTTAGTCTTTCTCTGCACTCGCAAAAGAGTATATTTTTTTCAGCATCTTTTTTTTATTTTTGCCTAAGATTGAGATCAGTCCAGGTTTGAATTGCTCAAACCTGGACAAATGGAGAAATTGAAGTCCAGCTCGATGGACTCCTATGTCACAATTTCTAACCATCCTCTTCCATTTGACCTTTTGTTAAGGTTTGCAATAATTTCCATAGCTCACCAAAGAGCTGATTTGGTGAACGTCTCCGCAAAGCTAATTCACAGAGAGGTTTTCAGTCCACCTTTACTTTGTCTCCCAATTCATTTCTTGAGCTCCTGATTGAGGAAATAGCACCACCTGCAGCTTTTCGTTCAATAAATTCTTCACAGAGCCCAGGAGCAACAGCAGATTTTCCATATTGTTCTGCAAACAGACACACATGAACTCTCTGAGCCGATAGGGTATTTAGCTGGTTCCAGCTACATAATTAAATCTGCTTAAACGTATTTTTTGTTTTTGCGCCATTTCAAACCCAAAAGGACCTTGTGTGAGTGTTCTTGTAGATAAAAACACCGCCTGCATCCGCTGTTTCCATTTGACCTTTTTAATCAGGCAAAGTTAAACCTCTGCAGCTTTGGTTCGACACTTCAGGGCAGCTGTTGTTTACAGGTAATGGACACTCTATAAAGATGAATCACCGCAACTTTGTCCCTCTACACTGCCAGGTGGAAAACATATCATCAACTGGACTTAATAAAGAAAACAGGTAAGAGCCTCCCACTGGGTAATTACAGCATGGATTGCAAGTTTCAGCAGGTGACAAGTTATTTACCCTCAGCAGTGCGATGAGCAGCATCTCGTTTCTTGGAACAACCCTGCAAGAAGTCACATCATAAAAAATATGGCAATGGGCTTCAGTAAGCTCAAATTATTGGCAATGCAAAGGCAAATGACTCCTGGAACTACTGAAATGGAGTCAACGACTGTCCAGTGCGTCTTTAAAATTGGGATCAATATTAAGAACAACCATCATTCTTATGTAAAAAATATTTTTGGACAAAATTATCACGATCGTTTTCTTTCATAGAAAAAGATTATTTAAAGCTGAATTATGGTGCTACATATATATACATATATAAAGATGTTTTTACATATTTCATAACAAATGAAACAATCAAACTTTTTTTTTTTAAAAAGTTACATCCTGTGGCTTTAAGCTTTTGATAAAATTAACCAACTCAAGGCTATGTTCAATGGTAAAAATAAAAACATTTCCACACACACAAGGTGAAGGAAAATCAGGGGATTGGAATTAAACAGCCGAGTCTCTTAAAAAACAACCAATCATCCAAGAATTCATTGGGTTCAAATTGTGCAGGAGTAGTTGCATGCGGTTAAACCTTAATTCAACAGAGAATCTTTGGGACATGCAGAGCAGTGTGACTTTCCCATCGTGTCTAAAAGATGGAGGGGAAAACGTTAGGCAAATCTGGACAAACTGCAGAGGCTTTCAGTGCAGGAAAGCTAAAGGCGATCCGGTGTGACTAATGTTTTGGCTGGGTAGTGTGGGCAGCTGTCAAACGTCGCACACCTGACCCAGGAAACCCAGATTCATTCAGAAGACTGGACCCTCCGCTGCAAATCCAGTATGTGATGCTTCAGATCCAATCTCTGCAAACTGCTAACTTCCTCTAAGATTGGTTTGTGCTTGAAAAGTCTGAAATGTTCTCCTTTTAGACATAGTCCGCTGTAGCTGCTCCTTGTCATCGCTATTCACCACTTTGGCCCAAGCGTTTGCAGACCAGAGTCCATCTTCTCTTGTGTCCAGCCACTCCTCTTTCTGCCTCTTGACATTCTTTTACACTTGCAGAAGTCAAGCTAAAGGCATTTTTTAAAAAACCCTTTAATGGCAGCCGCAGGCTCTGACCACCATGTTGCGGTACTTCTTGAGGATGACGTTGGAGCTGTCGTCAAAGTACAGCACCGAGATGCCATTGAGCTGCGTTGGGGCGCAGCAGGGCTGGGGGACTGTCTCCGGGTTGATGAAGTGCACCTGCAGTTAGAGGAAGTACGTGTTAATCTGCAGAGGCTGCTGTGAAACTGCCAGCGATCAGGGACTGTTTGGGACTTACCAGAGTTTGCACGATGGCGTGGTTGGTGGCATTCATGTCGGAGTTGAGAGGGAAAGCACACTCGCCCTCACAGTAATACGCAGCGTAGCCCTCCGGCGCTATTATCCAGTCCTGATCGGAGGAAAACCACAACCACAGTCACTGACGCCGCCTACGATCAAACTGCTTGTGAAATGATATCCTTTGCTTTTTACCTGCCATCCTAGATCTCTGAAACTGACATAGAGCTCGTGTTTCTTACAGCCCTCTTTTGATAATCTGAGGGTATCTGAAACATGCAAAACCAAAGTTTTAGCACAAAACATCAGGAAGGCCTTCGCTCTATGCTGCCAATATTTCACATCTTAAGTACCAGTCCCAGCCTCTGCTGCTCTCAGTGCTTCTTGGACCGCCTTCTGTTGTTTGGAGCGGTTTGACTGCCGTCCTTTTTGGCCGGAGGCCGAGCGAGCGCTGCGGAACCGCACCTCGTTGACTTTAAAAAAGACAACGAGGAAAGGCTGCTTGTCTTTAGGCCCGCTCCCAGTCAGCAGTCCAGCTCTTTGGGGATTTCTCTTCTGGCCTTTGCAGGGCAAAATGTAAGTCATGTACAGCGCATGTCAGCAACATGGCAGTTCAAAGTGCTTTACATCATAAAAACATTGTGACCAATTTCTCAAAAGTCATCATCAAACAAATACTAAATATGTTGTCAGATTTTTTTCACTTTTGGTAATCAAACAGGATATTAGACCTTTGATTCTGTAATTGTTCATCAGATGATAGAAGGCCAACTTTGTAGTTGTCTTCACTTGTCGATGACGGTTCATCACTACACCCAGATTTCAGGGTTGATTGCTAGTTTCCAGCTGTAATGACAGAAGCTGCAAGCTGACTCTTGATCTTTCCTCTTTAGCTCCAAAGATGATGAGTCCAGTTTTGTTTTTGTCGGAAAGGTGTGGCACATCCACATACTGACTCGTTCTCAGCATCTCTTCAGTGCATGAATGGGTCACCTGATGACGTTGTCATGTAGAGCTGTGTGTCATCTTCATAGTAATGATAGCTAATCTTATTTTAAAGTATAAAGAACTGGCTAAATGTAGCAAAAATACAAATCTAAGTTCCAATAAAACGGGAATTATTCTTCTACAGTAAATGTGAAAAATGCACAGATCATCTCAGATCATATGAACACTATTTTATAACCCCCTGAACTTCAATAATTGACTTTAATGGTGATATCGGACAAAGTTTGTTGGTATTTACACAAAGAACTGGTAGTTATGGTTCTACTATTATTAATATTACGGCTCTTGTTGCTACCAAAGCAAGAAAAAGTGCAAAAATGAACAAAGTAGCTTTTATCCAGATTCCTTTTGCATTTTCAGTTCTGGTTCCATGTTTCTTCTGTAAATACAAACTTTGTGATGTCGGTGCTGAGCGACAGCGGGTACTGACCGTGGTTGTCCTCGAGAACCAGGTGCAGTCCCAGGTTCTGCTCCGGGCTGAGCTGCCACAGGGTGCTGGTGGCGGTCAAGTCAAACACAAGCCATCCGTCATCCGAAGCCCAAACGTCTCGCTGATCCAGCAGCAGCAGCGCCACTTCGCTGGAAGAGCAAAAATGTTGTGTGATAGTCAATTGATAACGTTAATGTTTCCACATTTGGGGGGAAACGTCAGCAAGATCAGCAACAAAGTTCTTGTTTTAAAGCCGGTCGACTCCACTCAACCAAAAGAGAGAAAAAAGGTTGCGGATGAATAATCTAAACATAATCTCACATTAGAAACCTTTTACTCTGAAATAAACTCACTTGGTCTTTAAACTTGGCAAACATTTTCAAGTAAAAGATGACACATGCAGCTTTTTATTGCTGAGAACAGAAAAAATATTTAATTTTATACACCAAGATAATTGAAGATCTAAACCTTTCTTGGGTTGAGAAAACATGCAAGACAGTGATTTTTAGATACCTCCTTTATGTAACAAAAGTGAGCTTGTCCTTTAAAATGTATTTTAAAAATTGGTGTTTAGGTTATAACATACAGTTCTGGAAAAAATGAAGAGCCCACTGCACTGAATCCCATTGAAAACCTGATTATTCCACCAAATATTGATTTCTGAACTCTTCCTGAGTTAAAACAATATTATTGTTGTTTCTAAATGAATAATAACTTGCTTTCTTTGCATACTTGAGTTCTGAAAGCGCTGAATGTTTTTTATTATTCTGACCATTTCTCATTTTCTTCAAATAAATGCTCAATTTCTGGTTGGAATTTCAGAGACATGTTGTCAGTAGTTCATAGAATAAAAGAGCAATGTTGAATTTATTCAAACATAAGCGTATAAAGAGCTGTATATATAATTTTTAATTTTTTTTTAAAAGCTAGCTCACTCTCCAAAACCAGTTTTCACATAAACAGCAGTTCAGCTCTCAGACCTCTTGTCTTTGTAATGAATTTCAAAGACAACTGAGCTGCTTGCAGACGCCAAGGTGACTTGTCCTGCTGCCTTCGGGTCTGTTTGGGGTCGTCTGTGAATGACAATGGTGTCATTTTACCAGCATCGTCAGACTCACTGACCCAAATCAAACACCCAAGTACTTCTGGCACCACAATGATCACCCTCTTTTTATGGAAATGAAGGTCTTTACTCTTATTCATGCTGTTGGTTCGGTCCAGACAGAAAGACCGAATATCACTTTAGAACAATTTAGAATTAGTTCAAAATGCGCATGTTGTACGCAGATGATGTTTTTCTTTAACGTTGATATCGTAGTCGCATCAACTACAAAAAATGTTGCAACAATTGCAGCTACAAGTCTCTGCAGCTACTGTATGTCTCCATAAACTTTGCCCATCGAACTGATGTCCATTCCTTGTTGCTGAGCAGCTAAAGGTCTGAGATAAAGCTAAAGGCTAAATAAAGCATCTCCGAAAATCGATCTTCAGGTTAGATCACTCTCCAATGCTAAACTGGACTTCAGTCTCAATCAATCTAAATCTATCCATGCGATTCCCGTTGTTGTTGTATGACTTGGTACGAATGTTAGTTGAGACTTTTCATGGGTTTCTTTCAGCTTTTCACCACTCTTCTGTAAAAGTCGGTTTTCTTAACCCATTCTCAGGTTTCTGCAGCTCCTCCACCGTTACCATGGACCTCTTGGCTATGATTAACGCTCCCATTGGTCCACCTGTCAGTTTAGGCAGAGGGCATGTTTGTGGTTGTGCCAAAGTCTTTCCGTTTTCAGACAGCGCTACGTTAAAAGTCCAGAGTTTGGGATTCTATTTTACAAACCCAACCCTGACTTAAACTAGTCCACAACTTAATCCCTGACTTGTCTGCTGTGCTTCTTAATCTGGACGTTCTCTGATTGTTCTCTAATGAGCCTCTGAGGCCTTGGCAGAACAGCTGGATGAGTGGATTCAGATTCCCAATGAAGTGGCTTTTGAAGACAGTCGGTTGCATTGGATTTTGTTTTTCGAAGAAGTTCAGGGAAAATAATTCGTCTTTTAAGATGTTTACAAGTGGAAACCAGGCATAATTTGTCTTATGATTAATAATTAGTCAGTACTTTGTGTTGATACACTGGCGGCATGGATAAATATAGTGCAAGAATGACTTCAGAAACATGTTATATAAATTAGTTACACGTTTGAACATTTTCTCCAGTAATTTTTTTACCCTTTGCTTGTGAGGATAACGTTTCAGTCTTTCTATTGTCTAACTAGCCTTTTGTATGTGTTTTCATTTAAAGACCAAAAGAAAATATAGATTAAAAAAAAAGGTCATTACTGAATCACCCCTTTTGAAAAGAAAGAAAAACCCTCGTCAACGCAAAAGAACCAAAAGGGATAAAAAAATATGCTGTCTATTCCATTGGAGAAGAATTCCACAAGACAATTGCTGATTGTTTTGTTTCAGCATGAAAGAAATGATTGCCCAAATTGCAACTTTTTACAAGACTTGCTCCACAGAGCAGCAGATTTACTGGGACTCGGGAGGCGGGGGGAGCAAAGCAAAAAGCTCAAGATCTCTTTCATCCAAACGCCACAGCAGCGGTTGAGCTCCAAGCGCTTGAGGTTTTGATTAGTCCGAAAAGGTGCAGTTTTAGGAGATGCTCGTCGAGCTGCAATTAGAGAAGGTATTTTGAATACCGAAAGCGGCGACGAAGAAGCAAAACAGAAGCTGGCAAACAAAACACAGTGAGCGAGACGGGCAAAAACGGCGGAGTAACTACATGTGACGTCCAAGGGATATTTGGTGTCACTTGTGGCGCGAGGAGGGCGGCGAAATTGCAGGTCTCCTGAGAACAGTCCTGTTTGGATACCGAGGCCAGAAATTGCTGCGGAGAAAGTCTCCGTGTTTTCTGCAATTAACACTAAGGTCTGTCTGCAGGAACATTTGGGCTCTGACGTTCAAATGCTTATCCGGACCACATGAGGGCAATCGGACAAACCGATCCGACGTTTAAGCACTTTAAAGGTCGCCTGGAAAATGTTCCCCCAATCGTTTTGCTAAGCGTGAGCGAGTTAAGGGACTTCACTGCTCTGCCCTGCACACTGCTGGAGTCCATCCAGTCTGGGAGAAATTAAACATATCCTCGTGTTTGCATCCTGTCTTTATTTTTTATTTTTTTAAATTGCGATAAACAAGTCTGGAGCTCGTTTAAGTCAGACCCAACTGATTAAAATCCCGTCTGTTCGACTCCAAAACTGCCGAAAGTTTTGACACAATCATCAATGAGAGAGGGATGGAAAATAAGATGCCTAACTCTCTTGTGGTTCGTACTGTTGGGGCGTCGATGAAATGTGCTGAGCAGGAACGAAGAGTGTGACACCAGGACATGTTCACCTGTCTGGAGGCTCCTGGAGGACTTGGTAGACGCTGACTCTGAAGGTTTCATTCCCGTCACGCTCCCTGATGAAGTCCTTGTAGATCCTGAACTCTGCGGCAGTGATGGCCTCGCCCTGTGGAATACGGGAAACGTCGAAACGAAACGCCTGCGTGTGCGGACGGACCAGGAGGTCACGACCCCTGTCAACTGGCAGATGGAGAAAGGGACAAAGGGACTGATTAAAACTTCGTCCAAATGACTATGCCACCACTCACATGCTGCTTCTCTTCAAAGAATTAGCCTAAAATTTATTGACCTCATTCCCTGGCAAACAGAAGCTTCCCCACAGCATGATAGTACCAGTACCATGCTTTACCTTCAAAATGGTGTGTTCAGGATGATCCACTGCCAGGCCTCGTCTCTTCAGAGAGCCTCGCTCTCCACATCTGCTGTTTCTCTGCAAAGAGCCACTGGAATTTCTTGAGGTTTTTGTTTGTTTGTTTGTTTGTTTGTTTTTGCAACTCAAGCTTTCTTCCTCCCATTTTTTCCCCTTTAAGGCAAAATTAGGTTCTGCACAAATAATCTCCACAACTTTGACTCTTACATGATGCTGTTGTTTCATCAACCTTCTCTAATAAAGCCCCCAAGCATTTACAGATCTGCGAACAATATGTTTGCATTACATAAATGTGTGTAAAAATAAATAAATAGTATTAATAATAATATATTCATTCATTCATTTAAAAAAAATTGTTCCATTAGATTGCGAACTTTTTAAAATTTTTCTTGCAATTTTGTTTGCAAAGATTGACTTTTTCATAGGAAAAATGTGTTTAAAAAACGAATATTACAGAAAGATTTTATTGTTTCCCAAGGGAAAACTGCTTATTCATCGACAAGCTACTTTATCCAGTGTGTTGCATATAAATAAATACAATATTACTTTTCATATACAAGTGATAAATTTTTTTTTAATTATATACACTTAGGTTTGATATTGTAAGCAACTTAAATATGACTAAATATATGTGAAAAAAACTAGATAAAAATAAGACAGGGACAAGCATGCACATTAATCTACGAATTAATACATAAATTACTCCATGGAAAACTTAGATTTAAAGACTCAAAATCAAAATCTGCAGGTCCCACAGGATATTATTATTATTAATATTATTATTAACGTTTTATGCAAGTTAATTTTTTTTCTAAAATCAAACAAAAATGTACGTTTTTTTTTTATTAAAAAATAAAAACAAATTTCCTGTAATACACACGTAAAAAAGTTGGTGTTACACTTAATTTTTTTTAAAAAAACATTTTTTTTTTTAGAAGAATTGCAGATTTCTGCAGCTCTGACCCAGATGTATACCGACAGACCAAGAGGCAGATAAATCGCTTTGGATTGAGAAAGGTGGTGACCCCAAGTCTGCCCCATAAAATCCCAAATGAGACACATTCAATCGTGTGTGTGTGTGTGGGTGGGTGTGTGTGTGTGAGGGGGAGCATATGGCAATAAAAGGCGTAATAAAAAGCAGTTTATTATGGTGAACCAGTCGGTGGTAAACTGTTGTTTATTTAAACGTCCCTCTGCTGGGTGTTCCGCTTGGAAGCTCTCTGTCAGAAAACAAAAACAAAAAAGAAAAATCCAACTTCCATGAGTGGAATGACTAATGTAAACATTATTTAACTCAACCCCCCCTCCACACACACACACACACCCCTTATATACCACTATGTGGGGTGGAAGGAAGATAAAAACCCATTCGTGGCTCGCCTTGGCTCTCCGTTTGAAAATCGCACACATGTGCTGACCACAAGAAAAGGCCTCGCTCGGGCTCTGCCCGGAAAACCGCAGCAGCAGCAGCAAGTGCACTTCCTCGAACGCGCGACACAAAAGTACGGAAAGCCACAGGCCAATTTCATGCGCGCCCTCACCGCCCGGGTCGGCGCCCACCACACCTCCGTAATCATCTCGCAGTGCGTCGCCACGCAGCGATTTCCTTTTGATTGGAGAGAAGAAAAAGCGGAACAGCGGTAACCGGTGGCACCGCAAAGGTTTCCACCCATCCTGAAGGGTTTTTTTTTTATTTTCCCCCACCAATGGTTAAAAAAGAAATAAATGAAAAGCAGGAAAAGCTGGGAGATGTTTCTTCAGTAGAGAACTCTCTGCCCCCCTTCAGTCTGAAGCACCAACCATCCATCCATCCCCATGACATCATCCAGAGAGCCAGTGGGCGGTTTGTGAACACCTGAGAAGAACATCCTCACATCTTCTCCTGGCCAAAAAAAGAGGAAGAAGAAGAAGAGAAGAAAATCCGGAAGGTTTCTTTTACGGCACCACACGATGACTCACAGTCCTCTGAAAACCCTCCTTAACAACATAAAAACACACACATGCCAGGGGCCCTGAGTGCCGCATTCTGAACCCTGCGAGTCATTTGTTTGACCGCAATTAAATGCTGCAGGGGGAACAAGGGGTGATTTTATGAAAGCAATAATTGCTTGTAAGGACTTGGTGTGTTTACGTTTGGGCCCATTAGCTGCACAGATCAGACCTCAGATATGCAAACTTCCCTCTGGGAGACATTTCGACACTACAGATCGCTGCCGAGGCTGCGGGGCCACACAGCACCACGGCTACAATGAACCTACATGGACGTTTCTCTTTTCTTTTTACAGTAAATCAATTTCGTCGCAAAGTCGGAGGTTGTAATTGCATGTTATGAAAGGTTATTTGATAAGTGAAGTGAATTGTGAAACTTCTTATCGACGCGGAACTCTGTCTCAGTCTCCTGGAAACTTTGACAATGATGTTCATCATACAAAAAACCCACAAGGACCATTGAATAAACCACGCATAAGTTGAGTAATAAATAAGTACGTGCATGAAGTTTTATAGCACAATTAAAGTAAATATCAAAATGACCCATTTTGCTATGGTCTAAGCTTGTTTCTCCCTGCTTTGGTTCAAAAAGTATTTCTCGATTCTTCCACAGCTGCGTCGTCACCAGATATCATAAATTCATATGGTTCATGCAGAGAACACTGGGTGACGTTTTCAACCAAAAATAATAGGTTCAAATGACTAAACAGTCTTTCAATTGTTAGGATTTTCAAGGAGTGATTCTGAAAGGTTATTCAATTAATTGACCCCTAACATTATGAGACAAATCTCAGGTTATGGAGATTTTTTTCTTTTTTTAGAAAAGTAGACCAAATCAATTGTTACAACCAGCCTTAAACCAACGGTGTTTATGAAATCCAACCGGAGGGTGCTGGTTTGTTAGATCTCCCACCAACTGATTACCGCTTTCCTGACTTTGCTGCGCACCCAAGTGTTTATTTACAGCGTGCCTGTTTGCCATTTATGCCCCATCTCAAATCATCAGCAGCATCGGCGTGTCACATTTGGAAGGACGTCTTGAAACGATTGTAAAGCCACCAGGAAACAATGCCTTCAGTCAGATGCGGTGGAGAAAAACAGCTGGGTGAAGAGAGCTCAAAAGTAGAAATGCCACCCAGCAGTTGTCTATATTTTGTCTTTTTCCTCCCTCTCCTGCCTCAGCACTCTCCAAATGTGAAACCGCATGAATGCGCCTTTGGTGTTTGGAGACATATTTCCAAACACCAACATCTCGTTAGCTGAAGTGAAAAGTTCACCGTTATAGCTGCGCAGAATGGGACGTTCTCACGACGTCCGATTGTTTTACCGTCGACTTAGGGCGTACATTTTGAATGCTGATATGAGGGATGGCAAAAACTACATTTCATTTTCTTCACCCGGTCCACGCCCCGAGGCAGGTTTGCTGGTGTAACAAAGCAAGCACAAACACCATACCGCCTACTGCTTCCCCCACCACACACACACGCATACACACACTTCAGAGCTTTTCGCCTCTAAGGCAAACAACTTGGATTCCTGCCTTTATTAACTCAATGCCACTTCGGTTTCATCTGTCACTGACCGGTCACAAACCGCTGGAGCAGAATCCAGAGCGGCAGCTCTGCAAGAAACTCAGTTACCCGTTAGGCTGTAAGGTTGAGCAGAGAAATCAGATGTATGCATGTGGCCACGAAGTGTGCAGCATGGCGACAATTTATCGCAATAAAAGCAACCCAGAGGTACCTACTGACACACTGCTAACAATTCACAGGTACATGTTTTGAAAGGAAGTCCTTTAATTATTATGAAGTACCAAGAATCAATGAGAACTGCTTTCTACCATGTTCCAAATTCATTTGAATTTGGCCTCAATTATGTGAAACTGCGTGACAGCCTCCACATCCTCAATATCTGATAATCCTTTAAAGGGGCACTATTAAGTAAAATTGATTATTTCGAACTTTACAACATGTTATAATGATATCCCCTTATCAAAATCACACCTGTGGCGTTGCCTTCGTTCTTTCATGCATGTTTAAGAAATCCTTTAATCTCCCATGACAACCACGCCATGGACATAGCACCGCCTTCGAGAATGAAGCTTCTCCTCATGAGTGTCCTAGCTCACCTTCAGCGCAGCTATCTGTCGTATCTCCCCCTCTCAGCTCCTTCAGACTAGCCAGCAGCAATTAGCAGGAGCTGTTCATATGATGAGCACTTTAATCAAGCTACTTCTCAGTGAAATGTTGGTAAAAGCATCGTTTAAGGGATAACAGAGGAGCCGTGTTGTGTTGACTTCCTGAAGGCAGAGTTTCAGAAAGAGTTGGGGTTTTTAAAGAGACAGAGGCCCAGTTTCAAGGCACTAAAACACAAATTCAGACGTCTTTTGAGTCATATTAGACACCTTCAGCATTTCTACAGCAACTGAAGGGAACATAGTTACTTGATTGATCTATAATATGGCACTATGTGCCTAATAATTCATGATGCTGCACTTTTAAGAGCAACGGAATCAGGTGCTGCCAAGTGAAAATGAGCAATTGTGATCACCTCAACAAAAGGGCAAATGTTCTGCTTTTGATTATCTCATGAATTAACACAACACCAAGAAGAAAAGACAACAGCGTGAGCACTCATAGAGGAGAAATTCAACACGGGACGACTTTTATGATCACAATTACCCTTCACGCAGAAAGATGATTTACGAGCAGAAGACATTTGAAACCATCTTCCCATGCGTGGAAAGCCCATCGCCAGAATGTCCAACTCTCTTCAAACATCACTGAGGACGTCAAAAAAGTTGAACTGAATGACAGTATGATTACAAAGAACTCCAAAACCAAGAAAGTTACGAAAGACAAACGTCTATTTTAGCAGGAATGCCACAACAAAAGAGTCTCCTCTCCAAAACGACTTCAGGGCCGAACATTGTGGGTTTTGCACAGCTGCGTTGTGATGAACCACAAAACCTCTGGAACAATGTTCTTTGAACTGCCGGGTCCCCAAAAGACGAGAAGCCTGGCTGCTTGGAGCGCAGCCTGCACCAGGTCCAACACACACATCCAGCACAGTGGTGGAGTGCTGATGATGTGGGCCTGGGCTCTGGAACTGACTGGGAAATGACCCAATCTGGAGACTGATGGATGTTTAAAGCAACAAAACAAGAAAATCCATTGATCATCCATCCGTTTTCTGAGCACCCTTCTCCCTAATGGGGTCGGGAGGTGCTGGTGCCTATCTGCAGATGCGTTCCGGGCGATACGCGGGGTTCACCCTGGACAGGTAGCCAGTCTGTCGCAGGGCAACACAGAGACAGACAGGACAAACAACCACACACAGTCACACCTACGGAGAATTTGGAAAGACCAATCAACCTGACAGTCATGTTTTTGGACTGTGGGAGGAAGCCGGAGAACCTGGAGAGAACCCACCATCACAGGGAGAACATGCCAACTCAGTGCAGAAAGACCCCGGGCCGGGAATCGAACCCAGGACCTTCTTGCTGCAAAGCAACAGTGCTACCCACTGCTCCACTGTGCAGCCCTCCATTGATCATAAATTCAGAAAAAAAGGAGTTAATCTGAGGTGGAATAAAAGTGAAACTGTGTGAGTGTACTGCTGTTAAAGAAAGCTACTGAAATTTAGATTTTCCTTGTTTTTTCCCCCACATTCCCACATTCATATGGCTTCATCAAAAGGTTAGTTTTTTAAATTATTATTTTCTTCTGCTTTAATAAATATATATATATATATTTTTGTGATCTTACACAAAACCACTGACAAATGACAGAGGATGTTCTTTCTTCACCTCTGAAGCGTTTAGTTGTTCTTTATGGATGACGTTAGGAAAAATAAAATAATGGCCTGAGAAGGGATTTTATTTATTTATTTATTTTTTATGGTTTCTTTTTGTTGTTGTTGTTGTTGTTGTTGTTTTGCCTAAATCATATTTTGGGTAAAAAAAAAAACTGTGTTTGCCTTTTGTTTTTTCAAAATCACTTTTGAGGGTGAAAAATAATTTAAAAAATAATAATGTTACTAAGCCCATCATCTATTAAATATTAACCTGCTGTGACGTTTTCCAGACGAAACATCTCCATGTCTCAGCCTGATTGTTACGGCAGCAGTAATGGGTGTGAGCGCTCACCGAGGCTGACGAAGCTCATCACCGTGTCCGCGTCGTCCAGGAAGCGGCTGTCCTGCGGGCTCACCGCCGCCGACGCCCGACCCTGCAGGGCCGCCGTGTACCGCGGGTGAGCGAGCGGCTCTGCTGCCTCCGTGGACACGGTGTTGTACAGATCCAGCATGAACGTCGGCGCGGCGCTGTGATCGGCGTGAGCGAGCGGCCGCGGGCGGTGCGGCAGGCCCAGGACGGAGAGGATCTCCCGCTGGATCTCCCTGCGCTCCTGGCTGCGCAGTCTCCGGTGGATGAAGCTGGAGCGCACCTCGTTGTCCACGGAGAAGTTGGAGAAGGAGACGCGCGTGGCCGACGCGCAGGATCCCCAGCACGAAAGCACCAGGAACAGAGCGGCCGCCAGCATTTTTTATTTATTTATCTTAAATTGCTCTCGAACCCTCTCCGAACTTTTGACGCGCGGCTCCGATCCAAAAGGAGACGCGATCTGATCCACGGGGGATCCACGGACCTGTGCAGAGAGTTAAAAACACGCCTCCCTCTGCCAGCGCCGTGTGTCACTCATTCGTTCACTCATCCATTCATTCATTAATTCATTCATTCACAATCCCCAGTTTGCGCGGCAGAGTGGAGCCGTGATTCACCCGCGCGCGCTTCTCTGGCGGCTCCACTGGGGAAAAGACTTTTTTTTTTTTCTTTAATTACGGCGCTGCGTCAGAGGAGGAGCGCGAGCGGATCAGAAAAGGACCGACACGCGACACTTAAGCAACAACAAACTCTCCGATCAGTAAAGTTTTCTAAAATCCAATCCGCAAAAAAAAAAAAAAAAAAAAAAAAAAAGAAAAAAAGATGCGCCGAAATAAACGGGTCAAATTTCTACCGTTTTGTTTACAAATGTAATTGATAAACTAAATTTTTCTTCCCCTAACGTATTGTTGGATTTTTCTTCCTTTTTGTTTTGTTTTTCTGCTTTGTTTAAAAGAAACCAAAAACAGAGAAGAAGGTTTAAAAATCTTCTCTGACATGGAGGTGACATAATCTTGTTGTATTTCCGATAAACCCTCCGCCTGCTGCTTGGATGAGAACGACAAAATAAGAATTAGAAAATAAAAACAAAAAAAAACATTTTGTTAATAATTTTTTTAATTACTATTATTATTTTTGCAAACACAGAAATTAGCCAGCTGTGATCCAATCGAGCTGTTAATGTAGCAGCCAGTTTTTAGCACGCTCTAAAACGGAGGAGCGGATGGAAGACACAAAGTGCCAATTATCTTAAATGAATGGGTGTGAAGCTTTGATATCCCGCTGAAGACTCAGGGTCAGAGAGCCTTCTGGTCTGGATGAGTCTGTTCAGGTGTTTAAAGCGAGATCACACACACACACACACACACACACACACACACACACACACACACACACACACACACACACCCACACACACACACACACACACACACACACACACACACACACCTATTTGTCTATCATAAAGTGGTTTGAATTGTTGTGAAACAATCTGCATTGAAAAAGGCGCAAACCCCATGTATAATCCCCCCCTTTGCGGCGCAGAAATTCTTTGAACCGAGACAATAAAGGGAGGCCCCGCCCCTAATTGCTGAGCGATCAGCGGCCGTCTGGCTGCATGACGGGACTTGCGGAGGCGCTGGAGCAGAGCAGCTGAGGAGCGAGGTCAGCTTCACTGCGGCGTAGGAGGTGCACCGCCGCTGTTTGTGCGCCTTCAATTGAGTTTTGCCACATTTGCCACATGTCACCTGTTGTCTTTGTTGCGTTCCCAGCGCAACAAAGAACCAGCACAAAGGAGCGCGTGGAACACATATGAAGTCGCTTTGCCAGTGAAAATATAAAATATAATAAGAACATGTGTATTTATTTCTCTTCAAGTCAAAACTCGCCAACTTTCACTACAAGTATTTTTTGCAATTCGTTTTTTTTTCTCCATTTTTTGTTTCTTTTCATGCTGTTCTCAAACTGAAAGTTTACTCAATCAGAATTGGGTCTCTACTTTGACTAGACCACACGCTTTGAACAGAGCCATCAACGCAGTGTTTGGATCAGTGTTGAGGTCTCACGTACCTATTTCATATCAGTGTGCATTTCACGCCAATAAACAGTCAAATTGTGACAGGAAAAATCAGTAAACGATAATATAGCCTATATTGAACTACAAATGTGATGTGAAGTTCGGAAAATTAAAATATTTCTTAAGTGGATCCATCCATCCATCCATCCAAAACAAACAAAACAAAACACTCCAAAAAAAAACAGTTGAAAGCCATCTTTTTCTTTTCTTTTCACAATTATCTACTACTTTGCATTAGTTCATCGAATGAAATTAACATTTATCTTTTTTTTTATGTTGTCTTCAAAAGGTCATGAGCAGCAGCATCCACATTGGCAGAAAACACAGTTTTGAGTCCCAGCAGACATGACGCAGCTGGAGATGTTTACACCGGCACACGCAGGTCACGGAATGTGACTCATCCCTCGCAAACTCAAATAAGCTCATGAGTCGTCCAAGTGGGACGCAAACGTTTGCAAACCTCAGCGCCCCCTTAACAGTGATTATTTAGCCTGCAGTTTGTTTCTCTAAATTGGTCAAATCGTCTTTGTATGTAGTCAGACAGAGCCACACGGTGTAAGACTTTTCTCTTGTTTTGAGTCATATAAACACAACATTTCTTTCTCTATCCCCCTAACCCATCAGATGCTGATGTCTTTAGGAAGTTAGTGTCATAAATTTAAAGAAAAACACAGATTCCACAGAAATTTGTATTCATTCAAATTTAAAAAAGTACCATGTAATGTAATAAAATCTGAAAGAAACTGACATGTGTTTTTCTTATATTAATGTAAAAAAAAAAATCTGAAAAACATCACATGCATTTGGATCAAGATGCACCGACACATGCAGGTCACGCAATGTAACTCGTCCCTGATGCCCTGAAATTAAAGCGAGAGCCAAGTCACTTAAATGCAGTTTATTCCCGGCTAAAGTCAACACTCATCCTGGCCGTGAACACACCACAACACGTGCACAAATCTGAAGAACGCGGAATTATTTTTAAAAAGTGTAGCAGCCTGAATACCTGCACACGCACCGAACCTTTTCCACGACAGGTTTTCATTCTCTTTCAAGTCCTTTTTGGAAACATGCTTAAGTTTGCAGTTGTTGTATTTGTGTTTCTCTTACAGAGAAATGAGGACGAGCACAACACTGCGGCTGGGGAATCATTCAACTCTTAAAGAAGAAGCTTCTGGATATTTTCATCGTTCCCCATTTCAATCCAGGAGGTGGCGATAACGAGGCTGTGAGCTGGTTTTCGAGCATCCAAGGAATCGTCGAATAAAAGGAAGTCATCAAACTGCGACACAGAGGCACTGCAGAGGTAAGCGCCACACCTTTGCTCTGTAATAATAAACGTTTATTATATTTAGACCTTGTGCTAATGACCCAGTTTAACCAATTAAAGCTTCGTGTATTTCTGGAAACAGCTGCTGATTTTAAAATGATGAATGAAGAAGTTAAAAACGTTTTTAGCCCCGCAGCTAAAGACGGACGGCGCTAACATTAGCGTCTGAACCTCTCATTCGCGTTTATATCTCAACTTTATGAAACCGAGACTAGTTTCCTGTACCTTCAGGTCATTCTAAAGTGCTGTTTATAATTGGTAATTTATAATTTTATTTGTTTAAAAGAGTGTTAGAGTACACCAGATTCAGTCGGCGCTTGACATGTTGTTAGCATACCGTTACTTTAGCTGTGAAGCTAGTCCATATGATGTCATACTATCACCTAGTTTCACCTGTGACAACATTCGCTACATACGATTGCGTACTGCCTTTTGCAGTACGCAATCGTATGTACGCATTGTCTGTAATGCATCATTTAAATAGTAAATATGACAAATAATGGATGGGTTTAATAACGGGAGCTCATCTTTGCGCCTTTTCCCGCAGCCGCACGTTCGGTGCGCCTTTGATGCATTATGAGTTTGTTCGGAACGGGGACCAGCTTCGGAACCGGAGGGACCGGTGTTTTTGGAAGCACGACGACTGACAGTCATAATCCCATGAAGGTAAACTGAAGGAACTCGCTGAACGTGGTGCAGGAGCCGCGACTCCTGCACGTCCCTCTCTCACCTGCTGACCTGACGTTTCTCTCCCAGGATGTCGAAGTGACCTCGCCTCCAGATGACAGCATCAGCTGCCTGGCGTTCAGTCCTCCAACCATGCCGGGAAACTTCCTTATTGCGGGATCCTGGGCGAATGATGTGAGTTGGTTGTTGAGTCAATCAGTGGAAATCCACGTAGACAGAAACCAAGGATGGATTCGACTTGTGACCCAGTGTGCTTGTTAGAGAGCAGCTGCTGTAAAATATTACCATAGCGGAGCTCTAAAGGTCTTTTCCACGGAGAATGTAGGTCCTTACTTTAACTGGGACAAGCTGTCAAATTCATTATTATGGTAGCATCATTGGATGCAGTGTCTGTTTTGTGGTGAATTATTTTATTTAAGTGGTATTCATGTTTTCAATGTGTTTCAGAAGCTCTAGCCTTAGTCACATTTAAAGCGGATGAAGAAAAGGAGTTCCATGTTCTCATTTAAAAATAACATTTTCGTTGCCTGATGGAAAACATCCTTTTTAAACATGCTAGTAATGAAATTGTGCTAAGTGTGACTAAATAAAGATTGATTAGACAAAACATTTTGTGTATTAGTTCAAATGTTTGTGACCAACCTGGAGGATTGCTTTGGGTCACTACGTTGCGTAAAGCGAGGCTTGCAACACTGTCTTTATTTTCTCAAACAATTTCTGGGTTTCGAGGTTTTGCTTCAGGGCTTGAAGGTGTTTCTCTCAAATCCATCCTGTAACATGACAAGCAAAACGCAGCTTCGTTTCCACAAACAGGACAAAAGTCACACATTTGCAGTTGGATTTAGTTGTTTCTGTGTGATTTCAGGTGAGATGTTGGGAGGTGCAGGACAATGGACAGACCGTCCCCAAAGCCCAACAGATGCACACAGGTCCAGTGCTGGGCGTCTGCTGGAGCGACGTAGGTGTCATCTTGCAAAAATAAAACAACCTACACGGTTCATCAGGATGCTTGAAATCCTTGAAAACACTTGAATTTCATTTAGGTGTTTTCAAGGTTTGGAAAGTGCTTGGTTTATGTGTAAAGGCATTGAAAGAAGCAGAGTTTCTTAATAAATGCAATCTAACGCTTGAAGTCCGAAACTGTCCGAATTATTTACAGGTGAAATGTGATATTTTAGTATACTTAATAAAAAGACGGACACTTTTTCTCACTGTCTGAAATTAAATCAGACTAAAGTCTTCATGTTTTGGGTCACTTAGAATTAACAAAATTATCTCTATTTGCTAGACGCCAGAAAACTTGGCAAAAAATTTTTTTAGAGATTTTTTGTGACTTTCTATGTATATTTTGTTTAAATATTTAATTGGATCAGCAATGTCATTTACCATACCTTGTATTGTTTTAGTGTGATGAATCTGTTGTGATAAGACATTAACAGTAATAAATGATGTCATGATAAATTGAAACTTTTAGAAAAAAATTCTTTTTAGTTAATCTGTGTCGTTTTTATCCCCAAAGTTTGATGCTGAAAAAAAATTAAAAACATTCCTCGAAAATGCTAGTAAAGTGCTTGAATTTTAATTGTGGGAAAAGTGTATGAACCCTGAATCCATGTGTTGGATATTTGCTGCTGGATTGCAAAAAAGCTCATGATA